GGTCGCCAAATGTCGTAAGCTTATGCCTGATAGTGCCGTCGTGGTGAGGAAGTACATCCTCATCCTGTGGTCTGTTTTCCTGCACTGGTGAAGTAAAAAAAACCACCAGGAAGTGAGGTCAAAGGAGCGTCTGATCTTAAATTAATATCTCCTTCCTCCTAGTGTGACTCAGCGTGGTGCCGCTGCCGTCTTTCTACTTCACTTTATAACCTCTAAAGCTTGGTGGACAGCTGCCGCTCGGTGCACTTCTCTTCTGATCGAGAAGAGGTCTGCTTTTCCTCGTTGCACTTACTCTGTCCCTCTATTGCAGAAGACGGCCACACATCCAGGACTCAGATGGGCAGCGAGCGGGCTTTGCTGCTCGACAGGCTGGCCAGCAACGTAGCCAAACGGAAGAGCTCCATGCCACAGAAGTTCACCGGTAAGAGCAGCTGGAAAGCTTTGGAACATGAAAACGATACGTACCTGTTGTGTATGCTGCTGTCTTTATGTTATCATGTGTGCTTTTTGCTGTGCATTAACGCTTAAATACAGAATTCCATTTTTGCAAATGATTGTAAGTCATGTCTAAGCTAGTTGTTTGTCTGTCTCTGCTGGCCTCCATCTCTTGCCAAACAGGAATTGAGGGCAAAGCCTCATACCTGCACACACCGCAGAGTCTCCACTGTCCTCAATTCTCTGCCAGAAATGTGTCATAGGTGGGTATAAGTTACCATGCATGGTTTAATAATTGGATACATATACTGAGAAACATGCACTTTACAATTCCCGATTCACACTTTGTATGTTTGGATTAAAACTTAGTGAATAAAAGACACCAGTTTCAGTAAATGGCTGACTTAAGGGGCATGCACACACACAACTGTTTCAATAGTTGTTTCTCACCTCCTAACATTGGGTTGTAGTTTCGCAATCAAGCCTGAAGCTGCTCGCAAAACGAGTGTATTGGCAAAGAAAACCTCCGACATGTCTCTATCGGGTTGACAAATGAAGTGAGATCTTTCAATATGACAACCACAGGGGGAAAAGAGAAATGTCTGCAACCGCAGAGAGAGAGAGAGAGAGAGAGAGAGAGAGAGAGAGAGAGAGAGAGAGAGAGAGAGAGAGAGAGAGAGAGAGAGAGGCGAGAAACGTGAGCAGGTGCCTCTCTGTAAGTCTGCAACCGCAGAGGGAGAGAAAGAGAGAGAGAGAGAGAGAGAGAGAGAGAGAGAGAGAGAGAGAGGGAGAGAGAGGGAGAGAGAGAGAGAACAGGCGGGAGGCGAGAAACGTGAGCAGGTGCCTCTCTGTCTGTTCTTCTGTGGTGCAGCTGCACTGCAGGCCTTCCTCCTTCTGCTCCCTCTCTCAGCCTCTGTCCTCTCTGTCCTCTCAGCCTCTGTCCTCTCTGTCCTCTGTCCTCTCAGCCTCTGTCCTCTCAGCCTCTGTCCTCTCTGTCCTCTGTCCTCTCTGTCCTCTGTCCTCTCAGCCTCTGTCCTCTGTCCTCTCAACCTCTGTCCTCTCAGCCTCTGTCCTCTCAGCCTCTGTCCTCTCAGCCTCTGTCCTCTCAGCCTCTGTCCTCTCAGCCTCTGTCCTCTCAGCCTCTGTCCTCTCAGCCTCTGTCCTCTCTGTCCTCTCAGCCTCTGTCCTCTCAGCCTCTGTCCTCTGTCCTCTCAGCCTCTGTCCTCTCAGCCTCTGTCCTCTCTGTCCTCTCAGCCTCTGTCCTCTCAACCTCTGTCCTCTCAGCCTCTGTCCTCTCAGCCTCTGTCCTCTCAGCCTCTGTCCTCTCAGCCTCTGTCCTCTCTGTCCTCTCAGCCTCTGTCCTCTCAGTCCTCTCAGCCTCTGTTCTCTCTGTCCTCTGTCCTCTCAGCCTCTGTCCTCTCAGCCTCTGTCCTCTCAGCCTCTGTCCTCTCAGCCTCTGTCCTCTCAGCCTCTGTCCTCTCTGTCCTCTCAGCCTCTGTCCTCTCAGCCTCTGTTCTCTCTGTCCTCTGTCCTCTCAGCCTCTGTCCTCTGTCCTCTCAGCCTCTGTCCTCTGTCCTCTTAGCCTCTGTCCTCTCAGCCTCTGTCCTCTCAGTCCTCTGTCCTCTCAGCCTCTGTCCTCTCTGTCCTCTCAGCCTCTGTCCTCTCAGCCTCTGTCCCCTCTGTCCTCTGTCCTCTCAGCCTCTGTCCTCTCAGCCTCTCTCCTCCCAGCCTCTGTCCTCCCAGCCTCTGTCCCCTCTGTCCTCTCAGTCTCTGTCCTTTCAGCCTCTGTCCTCTCTGTCCTCTCAGCCTCTGTCCTTTCAGCCTCTGTCCTCCCAGCCTCTGTCCCCTCTGTCCTCTCAGCCTCTGTCCTTTCAGCCTCTGTCCTCTCTGTCCTCTCAGCCTCTGTCCTTTCAGCCTCTGTCCTCCCAGCCTCTGTCCCCTCTGTCCTCTCAGCCTCTGTCCTCCCAGCCTCTGTCCTCTCTGTCCTTTCAGCCTCTGTCCTCTCTGTCCTCTCAGCCTCTGTCCTCTCAGCTTCACCTCACTGTCCCTCGTGTTGACCTTGGGGCTGCATGATGTTCTCTTTGCTTTTACTCAGAACCAGAGTGAGGACCTGTGTTAGATATGTCTGTAAGTAATACGTCTTGAAAGTGCTGCTTGCTTCCTGTGGTGTGTCTCTGCTCATGCTGTGGGGTGAGGAGGGTGAAAGACCGCTGAGTCTTCAGGCAAGTGAAATAACCAATGACATCTAAATGCTGTCTCTCACCGTCCCAAAGAATACAAATATATACAAAAATATACATGTATATATGCATGCATACACATCTAAACAACCATATACACACGTATATATATATATATATATATATATATATATATATATATATACAGATATACATACCTATACAGATAGACACATATATATATATATATATATATATATATATATATATATATATATATATATATATATATATATATATATATATATATATATATATATATAGACAAATTAAGAGATTTAAAAACAGATATAAAAAAAGAAGGCTCAACAGTAAATATATGAAAGTATTTGTCTCCACACTAATTTGGACAGGACACAGTGAATATATGACAACAGTACAAATATATAGTGAAGTTCTGTAGTGCTGTAGTGCCAATGAGCCCTTTGTTCTGCCGGTCTAGGCGATAGCGGTGTGTGTCTGGACCTGAGCTTTAACAGGGAGCTGGTCTACAGGACTGAGGTCAAGGAGCCCCCCCCAGGCTCCCCGGGGCCCGACCCCCACCATCAGCAACAAGCCGTCCTCACAGGGCCAGAGAACAACCTGGCTCCCTCCCGCAGACCCTACCCCATCCAGCTGAGCCCCATGGGCCTCACTAACGGCCACAAGATGGGCATGCCTCTGATGGGCCCCCCCCCCACCTCCCAGCACCAGGTGGGCATGGACTCGTTCCAAAGTGATGGCTCCCAGATGCACCAGCCTGTCATGTACAACCTGGGTCACCTGCTGGGGGGGCTGAGCCATCAGAACGGCCTCCCTCACCCACACGCACAGCCCCTCCCCCTGTCGCCGCTGGAGGCCTTACGGGTGGTGCGAGGGGACGGGGAGGGGGGTGCGTTGCCCGGGGCGGTGTACCCCTGCGGCCACTGCAGGGTGATCTTCCTGGACTACGTCATGTTCACCATCCACATGGGCTGCCACGGCTTCAGGGACCCGCTGGAGTGCAACGTGTGTGGCCACCGCAGCCGGGACCGTTACGAGTTCTCCTCCCACATAGCCCGCGGGGAGCACCGCCTCGAACTCAAGTAGCTGTCATTCACACTCACACACGCTCTGACAGATAACCATGTACTAGCACACCCAGATTTACTCATATTAGTAGCTGGTAGTATGAGAAATGAAAGCATGACGTAGCATCTCTCTGTCTCTCGGTGTGTGTGTGTGTGTGTGTGTGAGAGACAGATTCAGAGACGTTATAGGTTTGTAACGGGTGTCAGAATTTCCTTTGTCCTACCATACTCATCTGAAAAGATGATCTGTAAATGTTTACGCAGGAGGAATTCTAACCATACATTTTTATATATTTGTACTTATTGATTCCTGCTGTAGCCATATATACATTTAACAAAGTAGCAAAAAAGAATGCATTTATTGTTTATCTGCTGTTGTTTTCTCCTGTTATTTGTGTTAAGGTGTCAAGCAATAAAAGATAACCTCTCTTTCCCTTCATCAAACAGAGACCTGCGACTTGCTGAGAGACATTCTTTTTTAAACACTTGTCAATTCAAGACTGCAGAAGAGAAAAAAAGTGCTATTATCTCGAAGGTCACATGTCTCATTTAGGCTGTGGTTTAGAGTGCAGTTCACGGCTTCAAAGACATCACTACGCTCTGCATGTGTTGGTTTTCACTCCTGAATATCTTACACTCCCACAGGTTAGAGGCCTCACAGCTCTGCAGAGATGTTTTTGTCACACGACATAGAGGTGTATACATATATAGGACTTAGCACAAATACATGTATCAGAGACGGTACCTCTGTCCTTCTTAGATAGATGGTGATACAAAATGAATGTCCAGGCAGGTCCAAAATAAATGTGACATGCTGTTGAACAACTTATAATTCATCTGAATGCATATTGAAACCGTTCTTCTTATATGTATATACAAATATATATCTTATATGAAATCAGGAACAAAGAAGATGAGCCTTTACAGTATCTAAACTGGCATGACCCTAAAACTAACAAATAAGAGAAAAATATTGAATGACTCTCGTCTTTTTTATGGGACTTTCTCCTAATTTCATGACAGGATTTAAACACTTTTTCCCTGATGCTGAGGAAATGAATGTGTGGGTCATATGAAACACCAGGGGCCACCTGCTGGGGGAGGTTTGGTACTGCATGGCAGTGATGGTCTTACACAGTATCACTCCAGAGCAGTAGGTCCTAAAATGGTTTCTCGGACCCATTGGAGGTCCTTAAAAAAGCAGAAGGGGGACCCAGACTAAATCATAAATAGCTTGATATATATATTATATTTTAACTAGAAGAAACTCAGAGAAAATGTTCAAAAATCATTCAATTCAGCCACAAAATACATGGTAATGCCAGTAAATTCAACACAATTTACATGTAATGACACATTTTACAGTCACAGTCAAATTGAGTTTGTTGGAATTTTTGAACTGAGTGTCTGTTGGAAAAGTTTGTCACACGGTAACAGGTCGAGCCTCCCCACTCAGTGGCTGCAGTGGGCTGTGTGTGTCATGAGAGTGTGGATGTTCTTCGCCCACATTTCAGGGACTTGGTCACGCTGAGCTGCCCTCAGAGCAGAACAGGGTGTTAGCTTCATCCAGCTGCCACCACCGTCGCTATCTGTCCCCTCCATCAGTGCCAGTTCCCTTTTTTTTCTCTTTGGGTTTGAAGAGAAGTGACACTTCTGAAGCAAACTGTCATCGCAGCTTCATGTCCCTACGCTAGATTAAACAGCCTAGTCATCCGTTTCAAAAGAACATTCGGGCTGCTTCTCTTTTTCCAATTCTAAGAGGTTCAGGGTTACTTTCTTCTGAGTAATAGTAGTGAGTTGAGTAAGTGTGCGGACGTTTAAGCTTTTGTAGGAGGATAAACATTACATCTGAACATAAAAGAAATCATATAGGAAATATGACTATCATTGAAAGCCATATTTCTACCCAGACTGATTCCCACCATAAAACCGTCCTGCGAGACAGAATTTACTCAACCAAGCGAAGCAGGAGTCATAAAGCAACAATGACGCAAGTCCAGTCAAAATGAGAGACTTCTGGTGACATCTGCTGACTGAATTATATACATGGTAACCACACTGATGTATTTAACTGGAACAACAATACACCGTTACACTGACTTTGAGAGCAACCAAGGAATCAAATAATGTTACGGTCCTTGAAAAACATTAATCAGCTGGACAAGTGCAATGTGATTGTAAAATCAATTTGATTTGTTTTGTAATTAATTATTAATAAATTATTTTAGTAATTACAAAATAGCACAGAAACCATTTGCTATAGATTGACAATAATAACTGAATAAAACAAAGGAAATCTAGCCACACAAAATTAGCTTCAAGTGCAGGAAAACCAATTAACAGTAATGTGGGAACAACTCAAAAATAAACAAGGGGTCCTGTATTCATATTTTGGGTGGATTATTAGAATTGATTTTAGAAATATTTCATTCTTGTTGGGCTCCTTGGTTTATGTACGTCACAAAGTTACACCAAATATTATAAAAGTTTAATCTGTAATTATTCGTCCATGAATATCTATTTGTTTTGAATTACTTTGGCTGTTGTTAAACATCATTTACAGATAGACAAAGAATAAAAGACAAATGCAGACAGCTGTTTGAAGATCATTTGATCCTTACACAAAAACAGCATAAATCATTATAAAGTATAATGAAATGTTAAAGCATTATCATTCGCAGAGAATCATTTTCATTTTAGGTCAAGACATGGATGGTGAAATAGCTTGCAATTGTTGTCCTGTGTAAAACCTGAAGATGGCGCTGTTGAAACAGAAGTGATGGAGAAGCAAGAGTTCAACCAGCGGTTTTGACTGATGGATCCACATGTTTTACTAATCTAATTCATGAAACCATTTCACAAATGAGTGGCTTCAAGATACATTGTCACATAGATTACAATTCAAAACATAACGTTAGAGTCTTAAAACATGAATTGAAAAACAGGTTCGTGTTAAAAAATAACAATAACTTGCTACCTTTGCTGTGACTTATTCCGTACCACAGGAGCAGATCTGAGCATGCGCACTGCATCGGTTCTATGGGGACGGGGAGGACATCACGGAAAAAACGTAGCAGCAGCACCACTAACCCCACGCCGAGATTTCGCCTCTCCGCTGCGCTAAAAGTGCGCAACGAAAGCAGCCCACGACTATGCCCGGTACGGCGGTAAAGTGCGGGAGGACCACTTGACAGGCCTGGGCGAGGTCTGAGCCGTTACCGGGAGGGGAAATACATTTCTTCGTATGGGAGCAGCATGCGGGAAATGGTTGGAGGTTGCTGCGTGTGTTCAGACGAGCGAGGCTGGGCTGAGAACCCCCTGGTTTACTGTGATGGACACGGCTGCAGCGTCGCCGTTCACCAAGGTAACGTTAGCCGCTGTTAGCGTGTAATTACCCGGCGGCTGGAGCCGGCCAGAGGTGCTGGTAGGTCGGTGTGTTTCAGGTCCGCCGCTGTCTACGTGCGTGTTTGTGAGTGTGGGAGGGGTAGGTAGGCGTGCTGTTTGTTGTTTCCTCTCGGCACACATGATGAAACACACAGGGCCAGGCAGTGACACGAGCCTGGATGGCGCCTTGATGCCACTTCAGGTCCGTGCGCGTGCGTGTGTGTGCGTGGCTGTCTGGCCCGGTTGCCTTCACGACACACAGCGAGAGGCTTTTTTTTGTTGTTGCGACAAAACAGAGCCGGCAAGGCCCGCCAGTTTGGACATCATGTTACCTTGTGTCCACTCGCTTTGTTGCTCATATGAGACAACAAGAGCAGCAGTTAACTTCCAGCATCTCCTCTCTGAGCACAGAGGAACTCTGAGAGGCTGCTTCACTCTGCCCTCATCTGCAGCTTCATCTTCCCAAGTAAAGACGACTTTGTTCCTTAAAGTCAGCGAAAGTGCCATACAAATGTAGTAAATAAAGGTTATTAAGAGTTGTACACAGAAGGTTGAGCTGTGAGCTGTCTTTATTTTGTTAATGTATTACAATTTGAAAATATTAACTTAAAGTAGATATATTATATTATCTAAACAAGATGACAACATGGTACCCAAAGACACTTTTCATTTAGGCCTATAGTAAAAAAAAAGTCTAGAAAATGGTGAAGATAACGTAAAAGTAGGAATAATCCGTATATTAATAATGCTATATTGTTAATTGTATTAATATTGATAATAAATTGTAAGTAGATATTTTTATCAGACAAAGATGACAACAGCACTTACTGACAGGACAACACAATATGAGACATATTTTTTGTTATAATAATAATTAATAATACATTTAATTTAAAAAGGGCTTTTAGTTGTACTCAAAGACACTTTAAATGTATAGTATAAATTGTAGAAAATTGTAAACACAGACTCGTGAAACAAGAAATAAATCAGTATGTTATATCTGGTAAAATCATGTATGTTTAAAGAAAATCGCTGAGGACTATATAATAATAGTATCATTAACCTGTTCTCTTTTGGTGTGTGTGTGCGTGTGTGTGTGTGTGTGTGTCCACCCCAGCATGTTATGGCATTGTCCAGGTTCCCACCGGTCCGTGGTTCTGTCGGAAGTGTGAATCACAGGAGAGAGCGGCACGCGTGGTGAGTGTGCCAACGAACAACCAACACAAAATCACATCCATCCCATCCTCTTCACCTGTGGTTATAACGCCACACTCACAGTAAGTTGTGCTCTCTCCTGCACAGAGGTGTGAGCTGTGTCCCCACAAAGATGGAGCCCTCAAGAGGACGGACAGCGGAGGTAAATCTCACTCTCCTTTCCCAAGTTACACAGCATTTAGACAAAACAGCAGGACCACCTTCCCGCCTTAAATAGAGTGGTGCAGTGATGATGTATTTTTGTAGGCCGACCTGGAAGTCAGCATCGCAAGGGCACAAAGACAAAAAGCAATGGAGATTTTTCCATTGGATTTTGGAATGTTGCGGAAAATGTAATCTGTTGCAAACACATGTATGTGTAGGTTTGGTTCAGCAGGATACTCTCCACATATTAACAGCACTTTATTGATTTTTTAAGCTTAAATGCTAGTGCCTGAAATAAAAAAGCTAAGGTTAAGACATATTCCAACTACATCACTGTCACACGGCTGCACTAAGCTAAAGGCGGCTAATGTTTGACGTGATGACGTGAAGTCTCATTTAGCCGCCTGTTAGCAACCGCCGTTTTTATGACACATAGATGCTTCAGACGTTCACCAGTGGGGTAAATACTGACACATTTTATGTCGTAGAACAAAATATGAAAATCTCTTCTTATTTCAGACAACTAACCACAGACATTTAAAAAAAGGAAACCGGAAGTGGTATAAAAAATTATAACTCATTTCCAGGATTTTAGGACTCATTCCTGCACCACTCTATAGAATAAAAGCTGCAGATTTTCTCTTAATCCATAAGGAACATTAATATGTCCTTCATCTGATCTCTCACCAGGCTGGGCCCACGTTGTATGTGCGCTGTACATCCCTGAGGTGCAGTTTGCCAACGTCCTAACCATGGAGCCCATCATCCTGCAATACGTCCCTCATGACAGATACATCAAGGTACTTCCCAACTGCCAAATCCAGCAGTCATAACACCAGCTCTGGCAGAGCTTTACTATTTTACCTGATAGGCCTAGAGTAAAATGCTTTTGTTTGCTTAGAGTAGAGGTGAATAACTAACACTAGTGTGATTTTGGTGAGATTACGACCATCCTGGCCAAAGCTGACTTTGGGAAGGGAACAATTGTTACGACTTCATCAGTGTGTGGTGCTTTTTGAAAAAGATAGTTTGGGTTGTTTGAAGAGGGGTTGAATGAGGCACTAAGCTTTAGTCGGTGAACTATCTACAGTGGATACAAGTTTAGAGAAACAAATGTCCATGGGGGCCGCAGCTAAACATATTTTTGGCACCTAAAAAAAATCAATATCAGTCTAAGCATACACTATATTTAGATTTGCTGTCAGGCAGCCCTTTCCACCTGGGAACTGATGCTGTTATCTTTGATCTTGTAAAAGCCGCCAGACTCCATTGAAAAAAACCAATGATTTTACATCTTAGAACATAGGAGTTGCACGTTAGTCTTATATCAATTTTTTGATATGGATAAAATAAGTTTTGCTGCTGCTCCTGACTGTTTCCATTTCAACTGTGTACTACTGTAGTTAATATAGTACTGTTAATATGTTTTCAATCTAGTTAATCCCTAGATTTGTTTGACTAATTGTAGTGTCACTGTTATAGGGTTATGCTAATAGTTAATCAGTTGTGTTGAAAATACAATCCCAAATCTGAGAACTTTATTTTACAAAACACAATTTAATCAAAGGTGACTCAGAAAATATATAAAACCTGTATCCCAACATTTAACTTGACAAAAACAGCTGAAAGTCTAGTAATAAAATAAAATGACTGAAATATGTTGCAGTACGGAGTGTTTCATTCACTCACCGACAATCAATCATTAGCTCGATCAATTATTAGCACACTGCGGACTGGAGTAGAACCTGAAATTAGCATCTCTATGTAATGATTTGCAAATTGATTTCCAATCAGGAATTGTTTAAAAATTAACACATTTTGGAATTGTCCTCTGACACTAGAATCAAATCGGGAAGTACCGAAAGATTCACATCCCAAGTAACACGTTTGTATATGAGCAACAGAGAGGAGTGACTGCTAGTGGAGCGAATCAGCAGTAAAGACACCTAGAGCCAGTTATTAAACGTCTGCTTTTTCTAACCAAATGCTGTCACGTTATGAAAAGTGTTGCATCAAAAATTGCACCAAATGAGTTGAATGTTTGGCTTATGGATTTTTTTTATGTGGCCATAAAGATTCATATTTGCTTAAATGTTCTCTCTCGTACGTGAATACAGTAAGAACATTTTCTTATACATTTGCACAACTTGCAAATGTTTGCTAAATAATTATGTTATTTTACTTGATTATACGTACCAAAACTCAGCTTTCAAACAGTCATGTGCCAAGCCCCATTGATCCCATAGAGTGCAGTGCTGATAGCTGTGTTTGGGGGTCTAAATATATATAAAGACATAGAAAATGGAGGACAAAGTCCCTCAAAACAAAAATATAATGGGATATTTTTTTGTTATTACAAAATGAGTATGATGGGAGGCTTTCAGAATGTGGTAAGCCGTGTAAAATCGAGGAGACAACTTCTAAACCTTGTATTTACAAACCGCAACAAACAAATCCTTCTGATTCTGCCTTAACTTCAACTGGAACTACAACTGAAACCGTCAGTTGGTGTCAGTCCCTCCAAAATCTGAGCAGTCTTTGTTTTATGAAGCACTTTTTATAGTGTCAAAAATCCCCCAGAGAGAAATCCACCATAAAAGAAAAGCACAGTCTTCTCCAATGTCCCGACCAACAACAGTAGCTTCAACAAACCATGATGCAACACAGCTCAAAGACATCTGGGAAACAGCACTCCCAACCTCCACAGAGCCATGGCTCTCTCCACCTACACTCAGACCTAGATGTGGCAAGGTCGCGCTGCTCTCTGGGGGCTGTGGGAAGACTTTCTGGGAAACGTGGGAGCAGCTTCAGTAGAGATAGATGGGGCAGTACGTTTACCACAGTTCCTCACAAATCAAACTGTAATGTACTGTGTTTAAAAGTGATTCGTTTAAAGTGAATTATCCTGAAAGATGCCACTGGTAGCAGTCTTGTGTCATTGTGTTGTCTCCTGGGTTCTGTAGTGCTCGGAGTCTGTCTTTTTATTTTCTTCCTCCCAACCCCCATCCCCTCAGGAAGCCTTTTGCCTCCTGTCAGGTCATCATTGAAAATAAGAATTTGTTCTTAATTGATTTTCCTGGCTAAATAAAGGTTCTACTACTCTTCCTGAATTTGCTAAATTCAAATCATTAAGGAGCGAGTCAAACCAAAATCTATTAGAGCTTGTTACCTTGGGTGTGAGATTTTGTACACTGAACTAGATGTAACTAATCAAGAGTCATGTACATAGCATCATGAAACATAATATTAAACAGGGGAAGTATACACGTCTTCATGTAACGTATAATACAATTGATTGATTTACTTATTTTCATATCATGGATAGCTGCCCAACAGGTTTACAAAAATACACAAAATCACAGGTTGTTGTATCACCCATGGCCGTGTCTCAATTCAGGGGCTGCACGCTTCGGAGGCTGCATTTGTAGACCGCATACGTCACTTCCGCCGAAAGAAGGCTGTCCCAATTTTCTTTAAAGACGAGACTCCTCCGAATGCGGCCCACGAATGCAGCCTTCTTTTCCCGGATTTGGAGGATATATCTGATGTATCCTCCGCGGTCTACCATATCCCAGGGTGCAAAGCGCGCAGGGAAGAGTGAGTTTTTTTCAAATGAAATGGCGGTCCGGTCTCCCCAGCAGAGTGGATTTAAAAGCAGCAGCAAGCGGAGGAATCACTAATAAATGTGAGTATTGGGTTTTAACTTACTTTAAATTAACTAACGTCACACACGTCAATATAGTTATATATAGTAGTCACATAAGTTATACTTTATATTACATAAATAGACCAAAGTCAAAACATTTAGACCGGTATAGCCTACAGTACGGTGGGATTTATAAAAGGCTACCCTGATGTGTAGCTGCTGTTTGCTTTATTTATTTCTCTGACATGGTGCAATGTTTTACTGTTTATTAAACTTTGGGACAACATTACAACCTTTGTGTTCAGCTCATGCTGCTTTGAGGTAGGGCTAAAAGAAAAGCCTATTTTAAATATTTCCACCAGATTTGATCATCTTTTATTTAGGTTAAAGTTTATTTAATGTATCCTAATCCCATAATAATAAAACAATCAAAAATAGACAGCAGCCTTTTGCTTGATGTTAGTTTGTGCCGTGCTGTCAAAGGGATGCACGTGTGACTGTCATTTCATCTCTTTAGTTTTTAAAAACCAAAACAGTACATCATTTTTAAATGATCCTTTAAGGATTGTTTGTCTGAAATGCTTAGAGTTACATTTTGCTGTAATACTTTTGCAACCCTGTGTTTAATATGATTAATTCACTTTTTTATTTTTCTCTTGTTTTTCTCTGTAATTAGGACAATTCTGGAGAAATGGATCTGCTGGAGAAGGACCCCTAATCTGAAAAGTGCCCAGCGGATCATCAGGACAGAGCTGCCATCCACCTGGACACCCCGTGGTGCTGGAGAAAGACCCCTAATCTGAAAAGTGCCCAGCGGATCATCAGGACAGAGCTGCCATCCACCTGGACACCCCGTGGTGCTGGAGAAAGCAAAACGGCGATCAGGAACATCCTCCACCCAGACCTCTGCTTACTGCCGTCCTACAGACTTGTGTCTTAGTTTCAGAATTTGATTTTGTATGTGTCTTTTCTTTTAATAGATATTTAACGATTATAGCTTGAGTCTGTCCGATTCCCCAAACAGCTGCTTCTATAGAGTGGCGAAGTCACGCCCATCTACTTCCGGTCCATGGGACCTTATTTCGGAAAAATAATGTATTGAAGTCAATGGAGAGAGAAAACGTATCTTTTGATCCCGAAGGCATTGTGCCACGAATTACACATATGATGTTTGTCAATCTTAAAAAATTATTTCCATGTCAAAAAAGTCACAGTTTGTCGTAAAACTGTTGAAATATAAGACTATGAAAAATACGCAACTAGAAAGACTACAAATCCCAGAGTCGCGTAAATGATGTCACAATTGTTTTCCTCCACTAAGAGATAGCTAAGATCAGCGCCATATAGATAGAATCTATCTATATGGCGCTGGCTAAGATAAGATAACTTTAACAAGATGCCTGTGTGCTTAGTACCAGGTTGTTATCAAACCAGCAATGGGTCTTGCTCGTTCTTTTGCTTCCCGTCTGATGAAAGGACCAGGAGTGTCTTGATCAAGTTAGCTACCTAGCTAGTAGCTAGCACGTTAGTTAGCATTACAGCCATGTCATTTTTATTAGCCTTAACATGAAGTAACATTAAGTAACCCAAAATGTTAAACAGTAAGAGTAGTAGTCATATTTCGTGAACCCTTTGAAGAGTACTGTCACCGGTGTGATCATTCTATAATACACAATTTAAGCCCGGGGGAGAAATGCTCACGCTAACGGTAGCATCGGCGATCGGCGATCTTTTCTACTTCATGCTATCTGCACAAATGGTTGACATTAAAAAGACCAGGCAGTTCAGAGAGAATCAAAGGAAGGCAGGCAGGCAGCTTTGCATGACATTCTTCAGGACGTGTTTCATTGTGGTGATAGTGAGGGTAGTCAATCGTTTTGTTGACAAGACAGTAGTGACGGCCATCTTGGTGATGTGTGTTGTTGACCAGAGATGTAGTTCATTGAGCGTTTCACACAAACAAATGTGTTACTTCACAGTTTTACGACACATTTTATTTTTTTTGACTTGCAAAATTATCTTTTAAATTGACAAACATCATATGTGTAATTCGTGGCACAATTCAAACGGGATCGAAAGATAATCTTTCTCTCTCCATTGACTTCAATACATAATTTTTCCGAAATAAGGTCCCATGGAGGTCCACCGGAAGGGGAGGGACTTCGCCACTCTATATACTTGCTGCACATATAATACAAATAAACAACTCCATAAACACACTTTTCCTCTGTCTCAATGATGAAAGTTATCATAATAGAAGACATGAAGCTCTACTTTGTGATTAGATGAAAATACAAAATTAAATTAAAATAGTCATTGTTAAACACATTGTTTATTTCATTTACTGAGGTTTTAACCATTATTTACAACATGTGTACATAAGCAGAAAAATTAAGACTTATTTTAAATATGAAATAATATGATTAAATTACATCAGCTATATATAATGTACTTGTTATCTAACTAATGTAACATTACTGGGGGCTAAAGGAACAGCTTAATCTTATTTTCCTGGCCATGGTCCTCTTTATTTCATCGCCGTCGGTGATCTAAAAAAAATGGTTAAAGTAAAAAAGTAAAAGTAAAGTTTCTGGATCCTTTTCAGCTGAGTTAGCTTGTAAGCTAATTTGCTAGCAGGCTGCTGGAGCAGCGCGTATCACGTGACGTAAATACGAAGCGCTCCGTAGGCTAGACCGTCTAATTTCAGAGGCCACTCGGTCCAGCCTACCCGGTCTACGTGGGCTGGGTCCTCCGTGGACCGCGTAGGCTGCGTACTCCGAAGGATGCAGCCTCTGAATTGAGACACGGCCCATGTCTTCAAAGAAATATTCTTCAGGAAGGAGAAGTTTTTAGAGATCAAAATAAATCAAAACATTTGATTTATTATTACTCATGAATACATCTTTTATGTTTGTGTAGCCAGGACAATAATGTACAGAACACTTCTAATTTCATTGGTGATTACACTTTTTTAGAAAGTTTGGAAACCTTTTTGACCTCTGCATTTAACCCATCCTAGTATTTGGATGCAGTGGGAAGCTATTTTCACCATTTACACCTTTCCAAGTACAGCTCCTCACTCCCTTCCTTGGTCTGTTCGGGGAGTGGAACCAGCCACCTTTTGCTTCCCAAGCCAAGTCCCTACTGACTGAGCCACTGCCTCTAAAGTGGCTTTAAACTGGCTTTCTCTGGGCCAATGCTAACACTCCTTAATGCTAAACTTTTTGTTTCAAATATACCTAACATTAAGTCACAAAAATACTTACAGTATCTACTGACCATTATTCTTAGGAGAAACATGAGAAATCTCCCAAACTCCTGTATATAAAAAAAAAGTATTCTGTTCTGGAAAAAGAATGACAAATTGTTCAAATTGAATAAAGATTTTAACTCAAAGAATTTATGCACAATGTCCAAATAAAAATGTTCTCTAGTGAGTCAGTCTATTCATAAGCCGAAGCATTTGACATGTATGGCAGATGTTTGGATGAAAATAATTCATGATAAACGTATGCTGCTCACTGACTGAAAGGATAAAGAGACACTGACCTCACACAGAGCCACAGCATGCAAAGTAGGGCTGCATATGGAAAACAGGCTGAACCTGCTCTCCATTATTCAGTCTGCTTCTGTTCTCTCATATCTCCTTTTTTTTATGTTTTAAAGCAAACCACAAACAGTTACAGCTTTTACATGCACCTCTCTTGTTACTTTATGCACCTTTTATCTTGTCTGTGTAGTCTTTGATGTTCAGCAGACTCTTTGTGCCCAGCATGCACCACAGCAGAGGCCTGTACTACGAATCCAGTTCAACATACTATATGTTTGAGTTAGCTGGCTTACCTAATCCAAAACAAACGCGCTCTCGCTAAGCGGTCCTACGACGCTGGTTATCAACTCGGTAACTCAAGCCAGGGTTTCTCTGTCCGGCTGAGTGCGCGTTCACATGAAAGGGGCGGGGCTAGCAACATTTGACCAATCACAAACATGGAGAAGCGTACTGACAGCGCAGCGTCATACTTCCTGAATGAAAAGAAAACTATAATATTAGACATATGAAGAAGTTAAACTTTAAACATCCATGACTTAAACACTTTATCCAGGATAAAAGCCACATAGCTGCACCTGCAAGGTGAATACAGCTGGTAAAAGAAAAAGTGTTTGAATGCGTACATTAACAGGTTTATGATATCACTGCCCCGTCTAAGACACGAGTGGATTTGACTTTAATTACATTTGACTCAAGTGTTTCGTCAACTTAATGTGTTGCTTAAAATAATACTTCTGCATACAGTATGTGACACTGTGAGTGTTGCACGGCCAGATACGGCTCAAGAAGCTGACTCAGATAAGGAAATATATGATACATTATGATGTGATATGATATGAATGATAATGGGACACATCTACGTCTGCACTCACAGTGCCGCGGACTGTACTTAATGTTACTCTGATCCGGTTACTTATGTCGTGGCAGATATTTAAGTAAGCTTTCTTAACGCTAATGTTATAATAGTCAGATTGCTCTGAAGATGGGAGGTGATATTCTATTCATTTTCACGTTCACACAGTCAGTTGATTTTTGCCGGCCGTCTTTCCTGCAACGGCAGTTTTTCTGTATTTCCTCTATCCTGTAATATGACTTGATCGCTTTAAACTCCGCACACGGAGCTCTGATTGGTCAGCAGGCGGTGCTTTCACTGAGTTGATCTCTTATCCTGGAACCTAACCTGCTCCGGACCAGGCTAGCCGTTCAGCATAAGTTACCATGGAGATCTAGCCCGGTAAGAAGAGAACCAGCGTCGTCGGACCGGAAACCCAGAGTTTTCCCTGAAGTTAGCTCGCTAAGCGAAAATCCGGCTTCGTAGTACAGGCCTCAGGCCTCTGGTCTCTTTAAAGCAACGCACATTACAGGGAAATCAATATTTGACGCATGGACTCATTAGACCCGAGCAGCGAGTGGCCGACGTGCTGTGTGTGTGTGTGTGTGTGTGTGTGTGTGTGTGTGTGTGTGTGTGTGTGTGTGTGTGTGTGTGTGTGTGTGTGTGTGTGTGTGTGTGTGTGTGTGTGTGTGTGTGTGTGTGTGTGTGTGTGTGTGTGCGCGTGCGTGTGTGCCTGCATATAAATGTACACATGTGAGTGTTTGAGTGTCTGGTTTCATATTACTGTGTCAGCTACAGTAAATTGCATGCAGCTTTCCCCCCCCGCCAGAGCCATTCATCCACGTTTTGCTGCCCGCATTCCGAGACAGCGTTACAATGGGACAGTGAAAATTTGAGATGGCACTCTTCCCTTTCTTACACACTCGGGTAGTTACATCCCGGCTTTCATTACACTGCCCACATCCTCCGAGGGGAGCAGAGTGGGACGTGGGGAGCAGAGGAACAGAGGGACGGGGGGGGAGAAAAAGCCAACACACAGAGGGCTGCAGCAGAAAGGTAAAGAGCCCGCTGTTCCTTTGTCCCGCACCTGTTGCTAGGCCTCTCCTGCACCCCCCGCTCATTGGGGAGAAGCTGACGGAGAAGTACAAAGCTGTGTGTGTGGGTGTGCTTTTGTGGGTTTGTGTGTGATGCTTATATATTTTTCATGATTGCATATTTGCACATGATTGCAAGGAATCCCTCAAACCTTTAATACATTGTAATGCTTCAAAACCTTAATATGCTACTTATGTCCCTGTTTTTGTATTGCTGCTACACATTTTTAAACATGGTAGTGTACTTATTTTGTCTTTTTTTTATTTGTACTTATGTGTGCTTTTCTTCTCTATATTTTGTATAGCTTGCCTTTGTTTACCTGCTTTGCCGCTTTTGCTGTAACACTGTAACTGTCCCTGCTGTGGGACTAACGGAACTCTGATTCTGATTCTGCATCACTGAATCCTTTATTTCCAATATCATGCATGATTTTTTTTGGCTGCCTGAAACCATTCTACACCTAATTTATCAAAAATAGAAGAAAATGATAAGGAATGTGGGTGACAGGAATGTGGATATTAAAAGCATCATGATACAAAAAGCTCACACATGCTCCTCAGCGTCGGCGTTCTTTCTTCACAACATCCCCAAACATCTGGTCGACAGTTTTGCTGCACAAGGCGGCAAAACTGTGTTCTGTTTGAAATCCCCATCTGTTGTCGGACAAGAAAAACGTCCTAATGTTTTACAGTGTAGCTGCTGCTGGACTCACATTAAAGAGTGTTTCACTTCCCCTCACTACGACCACAATGGTTCACTTTAATAGTCATATAACATGTATGAGTTTGACCTGGTAACACTTTTCTGCACGAATCTGCAAGGGCGTGAACAAGCGTTGTTCATCTACAGTAGCACCTGTTATTAAAACTATGAATAAGTTAAATGTATCTGTTCCTACACCTCCTAATGTCTCCATCTTTGGCGCTTCACCAGACCTGCTACATCTGTGAGGACCACGGCAGGGAGAGCAAGGCGGCGTGCGGAGCCTGCATGACGTGCAACAGGCAGGGCTGCAGACAGGCCTTCCACGTCACCTGGTCAGTCTGACGCTGGGTTCATGCTTACATGGAAATTATAGTCCACAATATGGTGATATTTTTTCTGAAAATAACTGTGATCCTGATGACGAATTTTGAATGCCAAACTAGAAGTTAGCGTCACAAGAACTCCCTCGATAAAAAGCAATGGGATTTGTCCATTGCATTTTGGAACATTGTAGGGAAATAAGATCTGTGGCAAACACATGTTGATGATACTAACACGTTTGGTTCAGCAGGATAATCTGTACATATAAACACCACTTTATTTTTATAATTGTATTTAACCTTTATTTAACCAGATAAAAACATTGAGATAAAATCTCATTTTCAATGCTGACCTGGCCAAGAAGGCAGCAACGTTACACATAACACATAACACAAACATATAAAATACAGAGAACATAACTAAGAAAACAAAAGAGGAAAAAGCAGTCACTACATTGTGCACATTAGGACAGTAAGAAAAGTACACTACCTGTTACTGCAAGAGCAGCTGGTGGTGAGGACTTCAGACAACTTCAATTTAAAACATGATAGAGAGACAAGTGCCATCAGTTTAAGGCGTGATTGAAGGTCATTCCAAGACCAAGGACCATAATGAAAAAGACTCCTTTTTCCAGCCTCAGTCCGCACAGCAGGAACCTGGAACCGTATCCAGGCACTGGATCTGAGGTTGTAAGAGTCACAAACTGGGGCAAATCTGACACATATGATTTTTGAGGCATAAATGCAAGCACTAAAAGTAAAAAGCTTACGTTAGGCTATAAAGGAACTACATCACCACCGCTAAGCTAAAGGCGGTTAATATCGGCGTGGTGACGTTTAGCAGTCTCATTCAGACACTTGTTAGCAACAGCCGTCTTAGAAGCTTAGAATATTTACTGACGTGTTTTATATTGTAAATTAAAACGTGAAATTCTCTTAAGCTTGTCTTCACACAGATTTTATATCAGGCATGTAACCCAAAACATGTTTAAAAAACGTGACTTTGAGGCGAGGGAACCCGAAGTGACAAAATGCTAACTCATTTCCCGGTTTAAGGACTCATTCCTGCCTCACTCAACGTCATGACTAACTGACGCCAATATCTTCCAGGAATATAATACATTTTAACGTCAACTCAACTTAGCTTTGTTTATAAAGCACCTTCCATTCAAACATGCAGCCAACAATGAAATGTTGAAAATAAATAAAAGTCCATAAAATCATGTTTAGACCAATGATTAAAACTTTAAAACTTAGGATTTACCTTTAATCTTTAATTTACTTTACAAACGTTCTGCAAGAGCTTGCCTTTCTTATGTCCACAGACAGTGTGTTCCTCGAAAAACTAAATAAGACGTTTTTTCCAGCAAGGCAGTGTGCTTTAACTGAGACGTGACGTTCTTTTGGAACATGAGATTCAATCTGTTTTAGATACACATGATTGATTTGGCTTGTTTGCTGATGAAGTTAGTTTAAAAATAAAGAAGCCACCAGTCATCAGAAACTACGGTCTCACTCACTGTGTTTGCACTTCTTTTCCACTCTACCTCCATATCTCTTTAGATTCCTTTTTGTTTCCCTTTTTAAATGATTCCTGTCAAAACTCCAGGATAACATCCAGCCTTGAAGATTGTACATTTATGTGTAGAGAGAACTGACATTTGATTGAATCTGTCTTGCTGAGGTGACTCAGGCGACATGCCGTCGTCAGCGTGTGTGTGTGTGTGTGTGTGTGTGTGTGTGTGTGTGTGTGTGTGTGTGTGTGTGGTGTGTGTGTGTGTGTGTGTGTGTGTGTGTGTGTGTGTGTGTGTGTGTGTGTGTGTGTGTGTGTGTGTGTGTGTGTGTGTGTGTGTGTGTGTGTGTGTGTGTGTGTGTGCGTGTGTGCGTGTGCGTGCGTGTGTGTCACTCACCCTGTGCCTCCCTGTGTTCAGTGCTCAGATGGCAGGTCTGCTGTGTGAGGAGGAAGGCCCAGAAGCTGACAACGTGAAATATTGTGGCTACTGCAAGCACCACTACAACAAAATGGTGAGATGGAAAACAGTCTAAAGGCTGCACAAAACCTACTTTTATAATTTTCTAATCGATAGATTTATGATTCGAAAATTATAAAAGATGGGTAGACATGTGGAGATTATCCGACTAAACAAAACGTGATCCGTCTCTTAAATGTGTGTCAACCACAGACCTTATTTCAAGCTATTTTCCAAAATCCTATGGAGAAATTGCATTGCACTTTTGTCGAAGGAACCGGAAGAAGTTTACTTCCGGGTTTTAGGACGCGTCACTGCGGTTCTCTTATGGGTAGATTTCTCCCATGCTGTACAACAATTCTGATTAGCTCGGCTGACAGTTAGGGAAACAGCGTTCAAAGCGCACAGCAGATTTTTAGGTCTCGAGACAAATCACACTTTTTGTTTGTTTTCTTACAGCAGAAGAAGTTGCGCTCCAGTGAAAACACAAGCAGCTCCTTCAGTCATTCCAGGGGGCGCTCGAGCTCTCCTCCCCAGGACAAACACCATCACCACCGACAGAGGAAGGTTAGCACTAGGGATGATGGGTAACGTGTTTAGTACCAATGTTTGGAAATGAATATCTGGTCAGATTTCACATTTTGTAGCTATGTTGACACTTTCTGTGATCAGAAGGTTCCTGGTTTGAATTTTAAAAAGATTTCAATCATTATCAAGATAAATATAATAATACAAAATCTGGTACCCACTCCCGTCTACACCTTGTGAACCATGAAATACCTCTTCACCCAGTGCCCAAAGCTGGATTCAAAATAAAGGCATGAAGAGCTACTCAAATTAACTTAAATTATCAAATTGGATAATGACAAAATTACTATATAGAAAGTATTATAAATGAATGAACAGTTCCAGCTAGTTTACAGATGCAGTTCTTGTCTGACTGATTTATTTAAACACCATTAACATTTAAGAAAGTTGGCTTAATTTGTTAAAAGAAAAAAAATAGTTATACTTATTGGTATACCACCAATTTCGGCCCTGGTAATTGTTTGTAAGTGCATGTTCATGTACGAGTGGTGAGTGTAATAGTTTAACTCCTGAGCCCTATGTATTTCTGTGTTTTCAGAGTCATAAGGACAAGATGCATCAGAAAGAGCGCCACAAGAAGTCCTCTGACAGCCTGGGCTCCTCCGTGACCAGCAGCTCTATAGAAAAGGTACGAAGGCCAAACACAGGATGACACGCCAGGCACTTTGAACATCTCTAATGACCTGTGTGTTCTCTCCAGATATCCTCCAGTCACCACAGCACCAAGGACAGTGAGGGAAAGTGTAAGAAGCTGAGCTCACACAGTCACGTTCACCGCAGCAAGAAGACGGGAAGCATCGGCAAGAGCTGCTCCTCCTCCTCCTGCTCCTCCAGCCCCTTCAACACAGGTACGACAATCAATCAGAATAATGTTCATAGCAGATGTATCAATTACGGAAGTAGTGAGTTGCAGTCATACATGATTACATGTAGGTCCGAATCAATGAGTAAAATAAATAATGAATTCACGGATAATTTCTTTATGACGTGAACATTTTCTTTTCACAAATTTCTTACTGTTTTGCTTCAGTTTGTAGAACAAAACCAACACTTTGTTTGCATCACCTTTGCCTCTGGAAACTAATGCATTCATTACCATCTTCTGACATTTTATCAATTCAAATATTTATTCAGTTTTTATAAAATTACCAATTGACTTATTTAAAATAAATGGCTATTTTGATCGTTTTAACCCTGCAAACGGCACTTTTTGGTTTGCATTGTTGTCATAATCCAAGAAGTTCATCAGTAATATTGAATACTATTAAAGAGGCCCTATTGTACTTTTGTGCTTTTCTGTTTCCTGTAGTGTGTTCTATAGGTTTTTGTGCATGGAAATTGTCAGATGGAGTTTTTCTTGAAATAAAAGATGTGTGCTTGCTTGACTTATTTAACCAGCATCTCATGCTGCGTTCACACCGGACGCGATGCGATTTTTGGGGGCGGCGCGATTACATGTTAAGGATGCAGAGACGCGGAAAGACGCGAATTCGCTCCGACGGCGCTCATGAAGCGGTGGACGCGGCGAGAATCACGCGATTGAAGGGGGCCGCGTCAAACGCGAGATTTCAATTTTTTTCAACTTGAGCGTCAAATTCACGTGACGCGTTCTCGCGAAAGCCAATCAGCATTGGGATTCCCTCTGACGTCCTGCTGTTGATCAGTTGTAAAGATGGAAGAGATGATCGTTGTGGCTGTGAGTGGGTTCCCGGAGATTTACGATACAATGTCGTATATCTACCGGGACCGCAACAAAAAGGAGCTGGCTTGGAGGAGAATAAGAACCCAGACACTGCGTTTGTTGCTACGTTTGTAGGACTTCCACAGAAGGTACAAAGCAGCAATAGTTGTTATATCCTCCATAGTCAAGGACAGAAATAACCAAAACGATCTTGCATGGAAGTGTAAACAACCTCAACTGTCCGTCAACGGCGCGGCGCGTCAACGGTATGTCTGTTTTTAATGAAGCGATAAAACAAACTGCAAGCCGCGGTGAAACTTGAGCGATTGGAGCGAATATTCGCATCGCGTCCGGTGTGAACGCAGCATTAGTCGCTCAAAGTGAAGGGTGAAGGGTTTTTAACCAATAAACATCCTTTCCACATTTCAGATGCTTACTCTCTCCAACATCAAACATAAACATGTTTTAGCAGTGAGGTTCTTTAAATGTGACTAAAACTCTGTGTTTCTCCTGGAGGTGGCTCCCTGTCTTCCGCTCAGGACTTCCATCCGTTCTCATCATCCTCCCGCCTGGAGCGGGACCATGACCACGGGGGGGACGAGCACAGTGGGGAGGAGCGTAAGGAGCGCCATCGGAGGCCAGCGGTGCAGGAGGAGGAGGAGGACGATGAAAAAGAGGAGGGCAAAGAGGAGGAGGTAGAGGAGGAGGAGGACAGTAAATACCACAAGCCACCAGCTCTCACTCCAGCTGACGGCCCAATGGCAGGGTCACAGGGTCACGACCGGTCGGAGAACAACTCCAGCCCCTTCGAGAACAAGGTCACCATCTCCACCTTCGGCTCCATCATGCGCATCACCTCTTCCTCTGGGCTGGGCAGCAGTAGCAAGATCCGGAAGATCTCCTCGTCCGGGGACTACAAGCCCTCCAAGTCTCTGAGTAAGCTGAGCACGCCGCCCATCCTGGAGGAGGCAGTGCCAGAGGACAAAGCCCCGCCCCCGCAGCTGCCCAGAGAGCGCAGGCACCGCGGCAACAAGAAGAGCAGCCACGGGCCGGGGCGGCCGCGGGGCAGTAAGAACCGGGAGAGGAGGGAGGAGGAGCATCACCACCACCATCACCACACAGCGCCTCCTCCTCCTCCTCCTCTTCCTCCTCCAGCCTTAACCTCCCCGCTCTACCAGAGCCAGTCCTCCCTCCCTCACCCCGCCTTCCCCTCCACGCTGCCTCCCACAGCCGTCTCTTCTTCTTCTTCTTCTTCTTCTTGTTTCTCCTCCTCTGCCGCCGTTTTTTCCACGAGCCGTGGCAACTCTCTGCTCAGCTCCGGTGAGTCTCTGTGGGGGGGGGGGTGTGTGTGGTAGCCCTCAAGCTTCCTGTGTGTGTTACAGAAACAGTGTTGAAATGTTTCCATTACACATGTTCCATGTCAGCATCAGAGCAGCAGCCTATCTGTGCATCAGAACCTCAGTGTTTTATAATAACACAATGATACTGTTACTATGTTTTTCATACACAGGGTTTTCAAATTCACAACATTGTCCTCGATTGTGGTTTGTGTGTGTGCTAGATTTCCTGTCATACTTACACATTGATTTCCCGTGCACACTTACAGACTCAGTGCCATGTTTGTTAGTTCTTTTGGCGATCCTGAGATAAGAAAGTCAAAAATACCTTTGTTTTACCTCATTTTATCTTTCTGAATCCCTCAGGCATCTACTCCAGCCTCAAGGACCCCCTCACACTGGGCGGGGGTGTCTGCAGTACCCCTCTCTCTCTGGGTGGAGGGGTTTGTAGCCCCTCCTTGTCCCTGGGGGGGGGCATGTGTAGCACCCCTTTCTCCTCAGGACTCCTCACATCCCACATCTCCTCAATGTCCCTTCCATCAGTCAACGCTGTGTCAAACACACAGGTATTACAGCGGGGGGGGGGGGGGGGGTCTCTGTACCCAGTATAAGTACTGTTATATATTTATATATATATCTGCATCTCCATTTAGACCATGAAGAAATGTGTTCAGGTGTAACACATTTTAAATAATCCTTATCAAATATCTTAATATGTGTGCTTGTTAGTGCTGAAGCTATATTGAAAAGACTCTCTGACACTCTAAGGAGGCCCGAATAACTCTAAAATGAGATGTGATGACCCGTGTCTCAGATTTACAAAGAAAAGCCTTTTTTTTTTTTACCAACATCCTTTCCAGATTTCAGATGTTGATGTTCTCTGTCTCCAGGTCCCTCCAGGTTCCAGCACCTCCTACAGCCTGAGCTCCACCCAGCTGTTCTCCAGCTGTCTCTCCACCCCCCCCCACTCTGCCACCACTACTGACCCAAGCCCAGACCTCACTGCCAGGTGACACAAACACACATTTATTTGCATTTGTTAAGGAAACTGAAGCTATTTTCAGAAAAGCTTCTACAAGAAAAAACCCTCTGAGACAGATATTCTTACCTTTGTCAGAATCTGACAAACCTTTTTGAAATCAATATGTATTTACTGTATAGACCTACAGTTAAGGTACAAGAAAACAAAGTTAGTCAAGATGGAAGGCAGAAAACTTATACAAAAAATCCCTCCTCATTTATGTATTTTTATAACTACAAACTTTATTATAAATAAGTTTCAAAATATATTTAAAAAAATTCATGTCATGTATAGGGACTGAAATAATAAGAAAATACCAAAAAATCACAAAATAAAAATAAATAGTAGATATACAGTTATACAATCAAATCATTTTTAAAGATTAACAAAGACCTTGAAAGTATGTTTTTTATTCTATCAATGCATATTATTTGTTAATGAATGAAAGTCAATATTAGAATTGGTGAAGGACGTTTGGCTTCTGTTTGAGAGAGAATAAGGTTCTGTCCATACCATATATTCAATAAACTGTGTCATTTAATGGTTGTTCTATAAAGCTATCTACACAGTGTTAGTTTGCCTACATGCTGACTAAGTGTTTTGGGGGGTTATTAGGCATTTTGTGTTGGAACATTTTGTGCATCATCAGCGCTGTCACCACGTTTCATTAGAATTACAATAAATGTAATAACTCTTTGTCCCGTTCTCAGAGTCCGACCTTGATGACTGTCGTTTCCCGTGTCAGGGGAACTCGCCCAGAGAGAGTCTTTCCTCACAGTGAGTCTCATTTCATCGTTATAGCTATTTTAATGTTGATTCTTGTACGATACATGCTGTAACACTCCTGCAGAAAACGAGTCAGCAACACAGTCATCCATTATCACTCATCAATGACAAATATATTGGGATGATTTCCCTTTAATCAGACGAGTTTCTATTTCTGTTACTAGCATAAGAAAACTAACAGCTAGTTATTATCAAAGTAACTAGACAGAGATATTAACCCCAGCCACGGGGCCTTGTTGGTCATTTCCCAGCGATGACTTCTTACTCCTTGTTGGTTTAATCCTCCTCCCCCCCCCCAGGTCTCCTATGAGCTGTCTTCCTCTCCTGTTTGAGCAGAGGGACGGGCTGGGGGCCGCAGTCAGAGCCCGCCCTGAGAACGTCCCCCTCGCCAGCTCTCACATCGAGCTGCTGCTGGAGAAACACAGCAACGGAGAGATGGGAGTCAACAGTGAGTGAACAGCATTGGTACCAAGATAAAACTCAGGGTCACTAGATGAGTTATATTTTTGTAAAAAACCTGATACTTTCCTCCTCAGTTCAATCAATCAATCACATTGTATTTACACACTCCAATATCACAAATTACACATTTGTTTCAGGAGGCTCTACAGTGGTACACACCCTCTGTCGCAGCATACAAGACAAAACTAGAAAAGCAACACCAAAATGAAAAAAGGGAAAACCCTCTGGGAGGGCAACAGAGGAGGGATCTAAGGCAGACAGATGTGCAATAGATCCAGAAGGAAGTCAAAGATTTTCCAGGTGCCGCCAACATGCGGAGATCACAACTTGTGATCCAGACTTAACCTTTAATACAAGACTCTCATGCGCTTGAAATCCCTAGAATTACAGAATCTAAGAAGGAGAAATCACAACTAGTGGTCACTAACTTTGGCTAAGGGGTCTTAAGAAGCTTCAGTAGCTTCAGCCAAAGGTATTTGGAACTACTGCAAAACACGGTGCAGAATACCCTCTATAGCAGGGATGGGCAAATGGCGGCCCCCACCTCCTATTTTTGCGGCCCTCAGATACATTTATAAACAACGTAATTCATTTTTTTTTTTAAAACGTCCACTAGACTCCTAGTAGCTGCGTACATGATTTCAAATACCGCGAAATAATCTGTGACGCGTTTGTGTGTATTGTGTTTGTTTCCGGGGAAACACAAGAAACACCGGTTGTTGTTATGCCTGCTGTGACGTTAAGTTACCGCTTGTAATTATGCCTTTACGAGCTTCATAGTTGTATTTATCATCTGAATTTGGCGAAACAAGTTTAATATTCTAAAAACCAAGACTTTGTTTATTTGAAATCAGATGAAAACAAACTGTCACGGACCCTGCCGTGTTATCTATGATTACCAAACGCTTTTCGTTCATAATTTCAGCGGGAGGGAGGGGGAGCGGCGCTGAGGAACAGCAGAGTGTGGGTTGACAGGTGCCTGTGTTCATTCCCCTTATTGTGGAATAAGGGGAATGCAGAGACAGACTACAAGTGTCTTAGGTTCAAGTTAGACAACTAATGTCTGGGTTAGTGTTCATGACTTCATGTTTATGTCATCTTAATGGTTCATCTCAATGCACACACATTTTCCGTGCTTTCCAATAGTTTAAAATAGTTTTATTCCACTGTTAAATAACCTGTTCAATACAAACATGCCACTAGTAAACATTAAATAACATTTCTGTGAACTGATATTTGTTTAGTGAGCTTATTAGAGGATGCTCCCTGAAAGATTGTAAAATGTCAATGAAGATGTCAGACTTAGTATATTTGTTAATAATTACATACAATACATGGAATTTGTGTTCCAAGTGAATCTGCGGCCCCCTGGTGGCCAGTACATCAATTAGGTGGCCCCCACCACCATCCAAGTTGCCCATCCCTGCTCTATAGTGTGCACATGATCTCTCGTGAGAATGACCTGGTGCTATTTACAGATGATAGATGTGCTTCTAGACGCTGTTAGAAACAAAAGATAGCACAGCAAGAGACAGCATGCTGCAACAATATACAACACAGCTGTAACGGCTTAGATTCTTTATATGAGGAGTAATACAATACAGCATATTATCATGTTAGCTTTGTGTTTACGGAGGCTTTCCCCAGAGAGAGTGGCATCAAAGGAAACACCTACAGGACTTCAGGTAAAGATCACCTGAAGTCCTCATAGGGAATACAAATGACTGTTGTCTCATGATGATAATATAGAAAATACACATACTAGTGCAAACCTCGTAAGCAAATGAAAGAAAAGACAATAAACAAATACTATTGAATGTGATATACTGCTAAACCACTTTTATACAGTTGAGGTAGGAAAAAAAAATAATACGATACCAAATATTTCTATGATCCATATCAGTTTGTAAAAACCTTCGTCACCAATTATTCCCACAGTATTTGTTGATACAAAGCAGATACATAACATTTGAAAAATAGAACAGATAAAACATGTGATAACTATGTTTTGCTTTCTCTTGACCTTTGTCTTTCTCCACCCTGTGCTGTCATTATCTTTTTGTTTTCTTTTTATTTCAACATATTTTCGTTCTGTCTTACTAATGTTTCCTCTCCTAAACTCAGACTTGGCCTTTCTATGTTACTATCTTCCATCCTTAAACACCTTCCTCACATCTCTGGGCTCCAGGGAGAGTTCACTTTAAAGTGTTCAGAGTGTTAACTGCTGTTGCAGAAATGAGGGAGCAGCCTGTGTGTTCCTTCAGTCAGTGATGCAGGGCACGCTGCACCCACAGCTCCAGAGAAAATCCATTTCAAGCATTAACAGCAAGGGATTGAATTCCCCGTTGTGATGGCACTGCTGTAAAGGAACACCAGACACAGCTCCAGGAATCACCAGTTCATGTCCGCACTGTATTCCACATTGAAGAAGTCTATTTCTCAAGTGAACATATCTTATTGAAACATGGTGGAGTTTTAGTTTAAGAAGTATTGCATTTAATGCAGAATCACCATAAAATAGTATTTTAAAATAAAGCAACTCTTAAGTGTGTAATAATATTTGTATTGAATCCTTAAGATATCTGTGGTCCACACATATGAGTCATTTTATATATTCTAACACTAATTAGTTTGTATTGAGCAGTAAATCAAGACCTTAGATACTTCAAAAATATATTTTGCCTCATCATATCCAGTCATTGTACATGCTCTGGGCACTATTTAAAAAATAAAGCTCAAAGTTATGAGCACAGCATCTATCATATACTGCATAAAGTGGCCTTCCCATGCATGTTGTAGACACACCATTTGGAGTCTTCTTCTCTGCATCACAAACTACAGTGAAATAATGGAATGGAAATGCAGTTTGTGTTTGATATCGCGTCTCCCCCCCCCCTGCTCCTCTCCTGTAGTCGTGGAGATGCTCCAGTCGCTGCACTCGCTGCAGCAGGAGAACCAGCGGCTGCAGGATCAGATCCTCAGCCTGACGGCCAAGAAGGAGCGCCTGCAGCTGCTCAACACGGAGCTGGCCGTCTCCTTCCCTCCACACATCCACTCCGCCCACGGCTCCATGCACTCTGCCCAGGTCCACTTCCTGTCATCCACCCAAGGTCTGATCCTTCATCTTCTCCCCCCACATTTATGTCCAAACCTTAGGACACACTGTTGCTGTGATGGTATCTAGTAAACTCTGTGTTGTTAATCCAATTTCTTCAGAATGTTCCTCCCTCATCATCTGCATTCAGCAGTTTTACATAAATACTCAATTCTGATTTGTCAATTTGGACATTTGGCAGTCTGCTCTTTCACAACAGCACATTGCTGCTTTCTAATAAAGGGACTTTGTGCAGTCATATCAGTCCACAGAAAGATGTCTGGTGGATTTACCATCAGCGATGGCCAAAGAAATACATACGTTTTCCTCCATCATAATACAGCATGGAAAACGTTTTCAATATTTATTTTTTATTTTTCAAGAGATCAGGAAAGTTTGAATTCATGATGGCTAAACTGTCCCCACTGGAGAAAAGACAAATGAGAAAGAAATAGGTTAAAGCCACAGATAGCAGGAGGACAGAGAAATCAGCAGAAGAAGACAGACAGGAAGTAAGCGCTTAGGTGGTAGTGTTAAAGACTGAACACACAGTTACGGGGCAGTAAAGCAAAAGTAATGCAATCATTTGATTATTGATTGATTTATTTCGTTATTAGCGGCGTAATAAGCAGAATATAATGCAGCGAGGCGGTCAGGAACCCTGTTGTTCATGCTATAACGTCCTGCTGCATAATATCCATGACGCTCATTAGAACTGACCAAACAACCTGCTGTGAACTCAAAATGGCTGTAACTGAGTGTCTGTCTGAAATCAGCTCCTCTGCTGGTTTTGTTGAGTAAACTCATTTCCCTCAGTGCCATCAATGAATGCAGCATATTGTCTCTGAAATGAAGCCTGGCAGCACAAACATAAAACAAGTCGTAATAAATAAAGTAGAGCATGCCAATCATTTTGACATGGCCATGTACACAGAAAGGACACAGACTGAAGATACATTGTAGAGCATTTACCATCCAAATGAAAAAGTTTGATACAGTAGTATCACCCTGTGTTTGTGCCTCTCTCCTCCTCAGACCCCCTGAGCACCAACAAGAGTCCTCTGTCCAAAAGCTGCTTCCTGAATGACACCTCCTTTGTTACCTCGTCTGAGGTGAGGACCTTTCTGACCTGCAACACACCACACAACATGTATCAAACCAGTACATGTTCCCACTTTAATCTCCTTGCAACAAGAGTTTGTGGGTTAAACCATACTTTTTTGATTTCACTATAAACTGTGGCTACATCCACATTTATCAAATGTAGTTTCAAATTGCATAACTCTTTCTAGGTTTAGGTCTGCCATTCTCTCTACTTGTTTCTCTAATATAGAGAGACTTTTGAAACCCTGCCGGCCCTTTTTAACTTTGAAATTAAGGAGTAGGATAAACAGGGGCAGTTGCAGGACACTTTCCCGGGAAGAAAGAACAAGCGACATCAGCCATGACTACTAGTCATTCATCAATCACAAGCGTCACTGAGCTAGTTGTGTATGCCAGCCGCTGTTTTGCAGTCAAGTTCTGAAGTTAATAATGCTACTACTGCCTACATTTCAAGTTATTTGTTAGTGTAAAATGTAAATGTTAGGGCGGCAGTAGATCAAGGACTTGGCTTAGAAACTGAAAGGTTCCCGGTTCAAGTCCCGGAGAGACCGAGTACTGTCGGGGTGCTCCTGAGCAAAGCCCCCACCCCTACACTGCTCCCATGGCGCAGTACAGAACGGCTGCACACTGCCTAACACTAGGAGGGGTGTAATGCAGGATCAGGGGTCTGTAGCTCAGTCTACTGAAGGGCTGCCCGTCCCGATAAGACCAACATACGCAGTGTGGACTGGTAGCTGGAGAGGTGCCAGTTCTCCTCCTGGGTACTGCCGAGGTGCCCTTGAGCAAGGCACCGAACACCAAATTGCTCCTTGGCACTAGACAGACTGGCTTCCTATTCGCTCTGGCACCTCTCTAAAGATGCATGTGCGTGTGTGCAACTATATATCACCTGTATTCCAATGCATGTGTGTATTTGTACTGTGTATTCAAATGATATAAACCGAGTGGAAAACTGAATTTCCACCTAGGGGGATTAATAAAGGTCAATCTTAATTTGAGTAATGTGAGGCCTACTTGTATGGACGGAGTTGGTTTTCTGATCAAAACGTAATGTATTGCTGCAGAAGTAGCTTGAGGTGCAAAGGAACTGAAGTAAGGGATCAAGATCCTCCGTGATCATCCTGTCAGGTGTTCTTTTTCCAATAATGATCTCCTTGCTGCACATTATCCCACTTATTACACGGCCACATACTAAACAAACGAACGACTTGACTCCCATTATTAGTTGAAATTATTTTATTGACTTGAAAATTATCCTTTTGCTTCCACTAAGAAAATAAAACTCTGTTCCACTCCATCTGCGGCCTTTTCATTTAAAAGGAACGGCAGCTCTGATCGATGTTTCCTGTGACTGTCCAAGTCTGTTCACAGTTTATTTTCCACTAACAAGTCCTTAAACACCACAGAGCCCATTCTGTGTTCCCGTTAGTGTTTACTTCCTGTCTGTCTGCTTCTGTTCATTTATCTGACGTCCAAAGCTTTGTCTTTTAACCTCTTTTTCCTTTCTCTCTTTTGATCCTCCTTAGCAAAGGTCATTATAGTGCTTAACAACGGTCCGTACTATCGTCATATTAGCCTCTGAAATGTCCGAATTGACCAATCGGAATCGAGTATTCAACTAATGCCATGTAATAATGCACATTAAAATGGCTACAGTGATTTTGTCCTGTGTGTTCCAGGAGCTCCAGTCTGGCAGTCCGTCCCGCAGCAGCTCCTCCCTCTCCTTCCAGAGCACTCCCCCCCCCCCAGCAGAGCCCCGCCTCTTTCGGCCAGCCCCTGCTCAATGGCTTCAGTCGCGGCATGAGCGACAGCTCGGGGGCCATCAGTCAGCCCGTGGTGGGCGGGCTCATGTCCTCCCTGGCAGGAAGTCCTCAGCTGAACATGAACGGCGTGCTGGGCAGTCTGAACGGCGTGATCCAGTCTCCCGTGCAGAACGCCCCCCCGCCCACGCTCCCCGCTCTGCGCCCCCAGCCCCCCCCGCTCACCCCCCAGGCTCTGGCCCAGGGCTTCCAGCTGCCCAAGAGCGCCAGCCCGTATGTGCCCAGCCTTTCTTCAAAATGAATTTGTGTTTAATAGCAAGGCATTGACATCATGTCAGTGATAATCCTATAATAGTGAGGCGTGTGGGGGCAGATTCTGGTGTGTCATGTGACCGTGTGTCTGTGTGTGTGTTCCAGGTCTTCCCTCCTGGAGCAGCAGCAGAAGCAGCTTCTCCTGGAGCAGCAGCAGCAGCAGCAGCTCCAGCACTTCCTCACCTCACAGAACTTCACTCCTGTAATCACACACACTCTCTCCTCTGTTTTCACTATGTACATTTTCTCATAGGATCACCTTGTTTTCTTGATTCTGTTCATATTTGATTCACAAACCACTCAGGAAGACAAAATGGCAGAAAGCACATTTGCTAACTGTATGCTGGCTCTAGCAGGAAGTGAATATGTTACACTTCCTTGATTGACGTCAATTGTAACCTTGTTTAAATCCACCAAATAAGTTTCAAGAATTTACCAGAATCAAAAATAATCATTTGTTTGATTGAACAGCAGTGATCTGCAACTTCCTTCCTCTCATTACACTTAGAATACGAGGCATAATTGATGAATATTAAGTTTATAAATGAGTAAGATGTGAGAGATTCATAGGGTTTGCTCTACAGATGAATATTGAGGTAACATTGTGCAGTAGTTGTGAGTCACAGGCCGACGATGGTATGAGTCAGTGTGTGCCAACAACAGGAAACCATGAGTGTTTCTATTTGACATGCTAACTGGTAAACCTTTGGTAGAGTCTGCAGCCAATCAGAAGCTGAGAAACATGTTGATGTAGAGCTGTTGTGTTTCCGTGGTGACTGGGGGGTTAGGGCTTTTTTGATTTACATGTATACGATAGACAATAAGGGAAGCGGGTACAACATAGATAATAACACGCTTTGAAACTGATATTGGCTGTGTTTCCTTTCACCTCTTTTTGTTGTACATTTTAAATTACCCATAGACCCTCAGTGAAAACAACCATGAATAACTAATAGCTGATAAATGATTAGGTACATGATGCACGTGTCTTCAACGTGCACTGAAGCTTCTGCTCCACTGAATCTGCCCAGACACATTTTCTTCATTGTTGTTGACTGTTGATGGTTGCCTGGCGCTCTTTGAATGACCTTTGAATGACTTTCGTTCTTTTAAAGTGTTCCCACTGTAGAAGTAGTGCCACCTTCAGCTTATTTTGATGAAAAACTCTTTATAATATTATAACAGTAGCTGATGAAAACAAGCATTAATCTACATTTTATGTTTTTCAAATATGTAAAAAATGTGCAATACATTTAGATGGAAACCTAACTATTGGCCAAGAGAAGAGACACTTGAAATGCTGCTTTTTTACTAATGAACTACTAGTGCATTTTGAGAGAATATGCAAAAATAGAATCTCTGATATAACACCCTTCAGTTCTGTGGTTTACTGAACATGTCTGTGCCCCCCCCCCCCTCTCCAGGAGCAGCAGGTGATGGTGTGCCAGATGCTGCAGCAGCAGAGGCAGAGGGAGCTGCAGCGCCTCACCCTGACGGGGGCCCTCACCTCCACCCCAAACTCCCCCCTGATCTCCCAGTCTCCCAGCCTGCTGTCCTCAGCCCCCCCCCTGCAGGGCGGCCCGGCAGGAAGCCTGTTCGGCCTGCAGGACAACGCACTGCACAAGTCCGGGGTGAGTAACGGCTTGGGGAGTAACGGATTACACATTTTTTCGAATTACCCTTCCAATGTATTACGATGTATTACTTCACAAGTCTCAGTTTCTTTGGTTCATTTGTTATTATTATTTAATTTAGCAGGTTAACCTTTATGTGTGTAGAGACTGCCTGAATATGCTAAATGAAAGGCAGGGTTTCCTATCAATAACATCTCTGTGCAGAGGACACATTTCTGATCCTAAATATCTTGGCTTCTTCTTTTCTAAGGACACATTGTTCTGTCTTACATAATACACTGAGGTAATAAACATATCATTGATATCCCTTTTCACTTTTATTTATCGCCGTTGCATTAGATATTGATATTTTTACAGGTCATTTGTAATTGTAACAAACTACCTGTAATGCGTATCATGTGATGCAGCATCACAGTTGCAGCTTTAATGATAGCAGTATTGTGTGTGTGTGTGTGTGTGTGTGTGTGTGTGTGTGTGTGTGTGTGTGTGTGTGTGTGTGTGTGTGTGTGTGTGTGTGTGTGTGTGTGTGTGTGTGTGTGTGTGTGTGTGTGTGTCCTCAGGCTGCAGGAGAGAAGGGTGGAGACAAGAACGGGTGATGATTCCACAGGAGCAGCTCAAATGAAGCAGAGGAAGGACTCTCTGAACATCTTTCCCTCTCTGTCATCTTTCTCTTACACCCTCTTTTATGAATGTATACCAGGATGGACTTTAACGTTTTTTGGTGTTTTGGAGTTCTTTATATCAGAGGTTCTTCTCATAGGTTTTTGTGTAGGCAGCTTTCAGAGAGTACAGTGGTCTCTTGTTAAATTGCACTAATTACTTAGCTAGCCCAACGCGGCTGCTTCTGAAGGCAGAGCCCCCCCCTGCTCCGCCCTGCAGGGGTTGTGTTCAGGCTTTCTGGTTGAAGTGTGAACTCTTTCCTGACCATTCACCATTTTCCTCCACGTTTCCACTCGGTCAGCGAGTCACACTGCCTCTTCCTGCAACCTCAATGTCTTCCTTGATATTTCGTCTTCCCTTTATGTTCCCCCCCCACCCCATCCAGATCTCCTATATGTTGCAGGCACTTATTATGTTAACGATAAATATACTGTCATTTCCAATGTGTGGTTAGTGGAATTTCAACATGAAGCTAGTTGTTACCTCAGATCTTTCTGCCACCCATTTTCCAATTCCAAATTGTGTGCTGAGTCATTACCGCTATAGCCTTCACTGGATCTAAAGAAACCACCAAAAACCTTGGTATGTAAATGTGAACATGGCACAGAAGCCATGATATCGTCCACAAGAGCACCAGATTTTATTCAAAAAGAGTTTCTAAAGACTTTTATTTCTTTCCAGTTGCTATCGAGATTAAGCAGAAAAAAACCAAACATTTGGAACTTGTAAGTCAGAAATTAATAGTTTTTCCTGAACAACTGTGCACTTTGCATGTTAGCAGCTAACAGAGCAAATCCGCCATCATCACAGAACCTTCATTAAGGATACTGATAGGCCACTAGGGACAGACAGGTTTTCCATGTGAGTATTTTGCACTCCTCCTCCTGCAGTGTCTGTTCTCTCTGTTACTTCCATACATAACCCTTAAACATATTCACCAACTAGATGTTCTTTTAGCAATACTGGATAGATAATGCCTTAATGATGCTAGATGTACAGAGACACCACGAGTCCAGGCTCACTCTGTTGTCGTCTTTCTTTGATAGTGTTTTTTATCTGGGGTACACGGTGGGGTTCATTACTGAAGTGAAAGCACTCTTCCTAAACCCATTTATACTTTTGATAGCTGACTGATGATTTCAAAATGTGTGAATAACCGTATAGTGAGTAACTAAAGTGTCAAATCATTTTCTATTGTACTTTTTTGTGTTCAGATCTGATGTTCTTTAGTTGTTTGTGCTTCGAAGAAGTCTGACAGGAAAGCCTGCACAGTGTGTCATAGGAGACGGCCGAGATGTAAACTATTATTAAAGTGCCGTCACAGCGGTGTGTCATACATAGTGTAGCCGTTAAGCTAACGTAGAGATAAGCTTGTCTTTCCTTCCACTCCACTTTATCCTACGATGCCTCTGTTTGGCTCACCTTTACTAACAAAGGCTCTTCACAAAGTAAGGGACTATTTAATCATGTTTCCTCCTGTGTTTTTTAACAATATTGTCATAGACCTTTATTAAATATTTTCTGTTGCAATCTTGAACATGATCTCCCATACATGTGATGTAACTTGAGTGCTAGATTCTTTTGTTAGCAGCTAATGTAGACGTCAGAGAGGAAGTCCAAGCAGCTCACTGGTCTGTGATAAATACTGTAGCAACGACAGAAGGAGAATGTTGGTTCTGTGGATGAAGACACGAGCCAACGCATTGACACGACTCCAAAGCGGGAGCTCTGAGTTTTTACTGAGAGAATTGACTGAGTTTGTCCTTACGAGTCCAGACACACACGAGCATGTCCAGGAGACGGACTGCAGAGCGGTGCTGGGTTTCTGAAGCCGTTTCTTTCTCATGTTGCACTGGGGCGCTTTGGGCCCAATTGTAAATCGTTTTTTAGTACCTTTTTCAATTTTGTTGGAATACGAGTTGTATACTTTAATATGTTTGTGTTAAAACACATTCATTCTTTTAAGCTTTGAAGTTTGGGTAACCAAGATAATCCATGTTCTGAATGTCGTACTGTGTATCTTTTATGTGTATCAACATTTAAGCACTTGGCTCTGAAAGAGGTTTGATGGAGAGCGAGTTTCCTGTCGGGATATGAATTGCATGAAATGCAGCGAGGTCTCTCAAATGTGTTGCTAAATACCAAGTAATAACTATGCATCATTTTAAATGCATTGTTCCCTTAAAAGAAAATAAATTAAATGAAATGAGCACTGACTTTTAAAAAGGACAAGCATGTTGTCATTGTATAGTGTATTTGTTTGAGAGAATTGATCAAAACTAATTTGACAATATTCAGATGAAAAGCCCTGTAAAGTATTTTGATATTTTTGTGTGTAAAATTAAAAGAACGGATTAAGACAACTTTTTTTGTCAATAAATGTATTTTACTGAGTTGTTTATATTTTCTCTCTGGTGTTGAATTACTTTTCTGTTGTGTGAACTTAAAGAAAGAGGAGAGTGGGGGGGAATTCTCTTTTTCTTTTTGTACTTACTTACTGTTGATTGTAATGTTCAGGGCATATGCAGATCAACTGTATTTGCCTATTTCTAATCAGTTAAATGTACAAAGAATAATATAGTGACAATTTCTTATTTAAAATTAGATTAAAGACATAATGGTTATATAAATGTAATTAAACAAATTCAGTTACATTTATATAAGTTTTACAAAATAAAATTAACAGTACGTAAAAACATTAACTGTTAAAACGAAAGATGAACAATACTAAAATATTACTAGTATAACCTGAATTATTGGGGAACAGTAAATAATATACTACTATAAGGATGGCCAATGGTTTATTAAATATGGCTGATGAACCTCTAATATATAAGAATATTTATATATTGTGGGGTAGGTAATTGTAACTCAGTGAGTTCACATCTTTTCATAGACAAAGTCATACAATAAAAATACTTTTTTTTTTAAAGTGTTTACATACATTCTGTTTCAAGAGTCAATTCTAGCTTGTTACTTAGTTTACACAGATTTCAGATCAGTTCTGTGGTGTAAATAGGGTGGAGAACAGGTAACAGCCCCTAATAAAGAGCTAATAACTAAAAGCTTTATTGATCATTCTAAAGCACTTTATTGATGTCATATCCAGTATATCAGTGAGGGTCACTAAGGACAACACTTGGGTTGCCAGTTCAATGAAAGTCCTTTTAGCTGGTGTTAACCCTTTTAGTAGCCTACAACTTTTAAATAAGTTACGTTTTAAACACGTTGGGACTTGTGAACATTCACTAATGACTTGTGACTCATAGAAAGATAGTAATATGTTCACAAATATGATATTACAAGTATTTATAACTGCATATTAGCAAACAGAAACCAAAATAACCTGGCAACCCGAGAGTATTTCTTATTAATGGCTTCCAACCAGGGACATGCACAGACATTTTGGGGGGCGGGTGCTCAAGTGAGAAAAAGGGCACTTCCCATAATCATTTATAAACAAATGTTTTAAAACAAAAAGTTAAATATAGTTGCACATCTCTGACTTACTGACCAATTTATTGTAATACCCTCACTCACGTAATTGTTTAATACTCAGCAGAATTCTACAAAATAATCAGCTAACACAGAGACAATGGTCTTCTTTAGTAGGCTATTCACTAAGCACAAGAGCAGACAACAAACTAGTACAATTAATAGTTATTAAATGAGCAGCCAACAATCAAAATTATGAAGTTACTGTTTAAGGACATTACAGGCAAAAAGATAGTTTTTTCATGTACTTGTTATTTTTGGTCTATTTTGCTTCCATGTTTTCTTTCACTCTAATGGAAATAAAACTTCCAAGAAACACAAATGGTGTTCGTTTTACTACCATGTCTGAATTCATCTATAGATTTAAAGCTAATCTGCATTTAACAAAACATTTCCGGGGAAAATACTGACTTGACGTAAGTAACTAGGGAAGTTGTGAGGTGATATGTTTTTTTGTTTTATCCTTTTCACCTGCATGCAAATTAGCCTGAATTAGGCCTAGTTAACGCCTAATTTGCATATCAATGTGGCGATTGTGATGACGTTTAGATACACATTTTACTGTATTCACTTTAAGGCCCCGCTCACACGGGACCGTTTGCGTTTATGCACAGTATGCGTATTCAAAAAAGTCTTCCGTTCACATGCATTTGTTTCATTTAACGTGTCTGTTCAAACGAGGCCGCTGGAAACGCTGTAGTACATATGCTGGGACTGTAAGTGGCGCTGTAACTTCCGCCAAAATACACCAAAAGCCGCGAAGAAGAGCAACCCGAGCAGCCCTGCTGCAATGTTGCCATGGCTACCCTTCTGTTTAAGCCCCGAAACTGAAACAGAAACTGAAAGAAACCGAATCTGTGGATATTGCATCCCGACCAAGAAGCACGTCTCCGTGGAGAGGACGGCTCAGAAAGAGAGAGATATTCTCTACAAACACCGGGTGAGATCCTCCTTTGTCAATATAATGGATCAATGCATGAAATCTGACTCTGTTTATTTTGTTTAAGGAGTATATTGGGCGTTAACAATTCTGGTTTGCCTTTTATAATATTATTTCATTCAAGAACCCCTTGTGCGTTTAATTAACACAGCTATTTTTGATAGTTGCTACAGCAGTGAGCAGGAGAGGCGGGGCTATCGCTATTTTTTCAGGAAATATTCGTATAGAGTGGCGAAGTCCCTCCCACTTACTTCCGGGGTATGGGACCTTATTTCGGAAAAATTATGCATTGAAGTCAATGGGGAGAGAAAACTTATCTTTCGATCCCGTTTGAATTGTGCCATGAATTACACATATGATGTTTGTCAATCTTAAAAAATCATTTCCATGTCAAAAAAGTCACAGTTTGTCTTAAAACTGTTGAAATATAAGACTTTGAAAAATACGAAACTAGAAAGACTACAAATCCCAGAGTCGCGTAAGTGATGTCACAATTGAGACACTACGATACACGTATAATACCGTATATATACGATCAGCGCCATATAGATAGAATCTATCTATATGGCGCTGGCTAAGATAAGATAACTTTCACAAGATGCCTGTGTGCTTAGTACCAGGTTGTTATTATACCAGCAATGGGTCTTGCTCGTTCTTTCGCTTCCCGTCTGATGAAAGAGGAGTGTGTGGATCAAGTTAGCTACCTAGCTAGTAGCTAGCACGTTAGTTAGCATTACAGCCTTGTCATTTTTATTAGCCTTAACATGAAGTAACATTAAGTAACCCAAAATGTTAAACAGTAAGAGTAGTAGTCATATTTCGTGAACCCTTTGAATAGTACTGTCACCGGTGTGATCATTCTATAATACACAATTTAAGCCCGGGGGAGAAATGCTAACGCTAACGCTAGCGATCTTCTCTACTTCATGCTATCTGCACAAATGGTTGACATTAAACATTAAAACGACCAGGCAGTTCAGAGAGAATCAAAGGAAGGCAGGCAGGCAGCTTTGCATGACATTCTTCAGGACGTGTTTCATTGTAGTGATAGTGAGGGTAGTCTCTTGTGTTGACAAGACAGTAGTGACGGCCATCTTGGTGACGTGTGTTGTTGACCAGAGATCAGATGTAGTTCTTTGAGCGTTTCACACAAACAAATGTGTTACTTCACAGTTTTACGACACATTTTTTTTTTTTTGACTTGCAAAATTATCTTTTAAATTGACAAACATCATATGTGTAATTCATGGCACAATTCAAACGGGATCGAAAGATAATCTTTCTCTCTCCATTGACTTCAATACATAATTTTTCCGAAATAAGGTCCCATGGAGGTCCACCGGAAGGGGAGGGACTTCGCCACTCTATAGAGGTGATTACACGGACTCGGTTGACCCCCCAGAGCGTTTCGTTTGCAAATCTATCCACCTTGGGACCCGTTATTGTTTGTGGGGTCAGTTTCTATCGGCCTCGTGTAAATAATAGGGCTATACGCACGCGAAACTATGCAGATACAAGCAGTTTTCTCCTCGTGTAAACGGCGCCTAAGTGTCTCCCCTTAAGTACAGTACATTAGCCTGTATGCCCATGATAAATTGCCTTAGCTAAACCTTGAGCTAATGTATCCATTAGCTAGTAGCCTACCATAGTTAAAGGTAGGGTAGGTAAGTTTGAGAAACCGGCTCGAGATCGCTAGAATTTGAAAATACACAACCGAAGAAAATCTGCCACTTCCTTATAGAGCCCCTCCTCCAACACACACCAACGCGCACATGACCAATGAGGGCACGAGATAAGTTTGTGCACACGTTATTGCTAGCCTAATATGAACCACTAGCTTTTGTTCATAGTAGTTTTATTACACTACATTATAGTTGCCGTTCCTCCGAGTTAGCTACCAAAGTAAACAAGAAAGCTAGGTTAGCATATTAGCTGGCAAGCTGTTCATTAGATGGATTAGATAGATCCACACTCCTACCACAACTACTACTACTAACGAATCTAAAACAACTAAGTTTCTCTAATATTTTGTGATTTGCATTTGATTTCGTCCAGCCAGATCCTGGCGGACAATACATGACGGGGACCGGACTCCCACACTGAGGCCTCGTCCTAAAAAGCACCGGCTGCGCCCAGGCAAGATGCGGGGAGGAATGGATGATATACCGTGTGTATATATATGTATATTTATGTTCATTTTGTACATTTCTAAAAATAAAGTTTAATGGAAATACTTAGTAGGCCTATCCTTTCTTCCCTGAATTATTTGCTCCTATAACATATCATTCATATATAGCAAACCATGATTTGATTTCTCATCAAACAGTAGTAGTTTATTACAGGTAAAAATAACTTACTCTTTGTTATGACCGGCTCGTAGGCCACAACGGAAAGACAAGGAGACATACACGAGTTTACAAAACCACGGCACATTTATTGTGGTAAATGCAGAGCTAGGTGGTTGAGAGGATCGCCGAGCCGCTTTGGAGAGAGACGGGCCGCCGTGTGACTCCGGGCAGCTGGGCTTAATAGCACCTCGGCTCCGGAGGTGTCCGTGATCGCGCTGATTAGCCTCTTCAGCTCCACCCCAAGACCTGCAACACACCTGCACAAAGGCCCTGGGGCCGTCACACTCTTCTATAACAACAGTTGTAGGTACAGTTCGGTTAGTTAGCGTATAAAATATACGGCTGTACCGACGCCATTATAAGACTGATGTTCGGCTGAGAGCGAGCCGAAAAAAGCGGGCGGAGCCTCTCTGGTGGTTGACTAATCAGAACAGAGTGGCCGAGCTGACCAATCGGAGCACACTAGGCTCACAGAGAGGGGGGGGCAAGAGCTCCAACGAGTCGTTTAGTGGAGAGAGTGAATACTGCTGAATACACATACTTGACAGAGATGCTGTATGCGAAACCAATGTGAGTTTGGAAAATTGCACAGTATAAATCTATTTTAGTATACCTCAACAATGTAATTATGATCAGTGGAAATGGCCATGACATGGGCCCTTTAAGTGCTTTGACAAAAATCCATAAAAAAATGTCTGTGGAAGCCGTAGTACTGTAAAAAGCATGACCGATCATTTTAGCCAGCCCGGCTAAAATAACTGGATGGCCTACCTGCCTGTCAGCCTTCCATCTGTGCACAAACTTATTTTGTGCCCTCATTGGTCATGTGCGCGTTCGTGTGTGTTGGAGGAAGTGGCAGATTTTCTCCGGTTGTGTATTTTCAAATTCTGGCGATCTCGAGCAGGTTTCTCAAACTTACCTACCCCACCTTTAAGATATTCATTGCTATCGGGATGTTAAGAGCATTCCATGGAATATAACAAAAAGTGTATCTCGAGCCGGTTTCTCAAACTTACCTACCCTACCTTTAACTATATTTGTTATTGTCTTTTAGCTAATTAGCTGTAAACTCGAGGCACTGGCAGTTTAGTAATGTGTTCATCACCAGTCACCTTCAAAATAAACCAAGAAAAGCCGGCATAACATGGGACTGTAAAGTGGGAGGTGCTGCTACCTGTCTGTCTGAAGTGACTGCCGATGTCCGCACCGCTGTGCGGGAGACGTGGAGGGAGGGAGGGAGAGCTACGGAACTTCACAGTCTAATCTCTCGACCTGATATTTTGTATTCAATCAATATATTTTTGGAAAGGGAAACTGTGCGCAAACAGCAGTAGATATATATTCATTTATAATAAAAAATTAAAAGGGGGGAAAAAGGGCACTTTCTCAGAGAAAGTTTCTCTGGAGGAAGAAAAGGGGCAGGGGCTCAAGCCCACTTTGATGTCTATGTGTGCACGTGCCTGCTTCTAACTGATCTACAAATGAATGATTTATAAACCATTAATACATCCATCATTTTTGAATGTATCTACTATGCCTTGTACGTTTTTCTTGCTTATTTTACATTTGTGCACAGCGGATAAATTCCTTAAATTCAAATGAGGAAGCGGAAGGAGTGGTTTGAGCTCGCGAGCTGATCACCTGAAGCGACCCAGCAGCAGCCATGTTGTAACTTTTACTGAAGTCCTTCCAGCTTTCAGAGAGGCAGCTGTCTGTAAAGTCTGGGATTCCTCCTCCTGTGTAAAAAGCAGAAGATTTACGACTTCAACACTCAAACTTGAAATGAGCGTGAGCAGCTTTCTAGTCACCGCAATGCGGAGAGGATGCACGCGGACCTTAAGACGACCTTTTCCCATGGTGAGCCTTCATCACTGTCTACACAACTAAAGTATTTTTATTATTTTTCTATATGTGAGAGGCTCATTTCCCTTTTATCTTTGCTGCCGTACTCGCATTATGCGGAGTATTTAAAAGTGCTGCGTCACTTTAGAGAAACCTACATTGTACCGGTATTTTAATTTGAATGTTGTTCTATGTTACCAAAAACTTGACGCACCCTCATTCGCTGACCTTTAGCACAGAAACGCCTGCAGGTACAATAGAGGAGCGCGGCAAGGCTTGTCACCAAGGTTATCAGCGAGTTACCGAGATAGCATGTGTATGGAAGCCCATTTCCGCCTATGTGATGGGGAAAATAACGTACTGTAAATCAGAAACTTCTAAATAATAACTTAGCATTTCAAAATAAGCTTTTCAATATGTTGAGATACAAAGTCTGTATTGTAAGGCACGTTGTTATTATTTTTGAGATACTAATTAATTATTGTAATGTTATAATGTAATATAATCAAATGTTTTTGTATTAATTAATTATTAATTATCAATATTAATTGTCAAAATTATGTTTTTATCAGTAGCCTACTAGTTAAACTTGTTTATGCATCCGCGCTGGAAGTAGCCAAGGTTGCTTTATGTTTTTGGGTTTCTAAAACCATTTGGAACAAAGGATGAACTGATTCGATTTTGGATTGAAAGGTCACAGTGACTGGGACCTCACATCTGTCTCGTTCTGGTGAGGCGATATCTTCAGGGAATTCCTTCAAATTTGGCAATAAAGTGTAATTGGAGTCAAGAAAAAACGGATTGGATTCTGGTTTAAAGGCCACTATGATCTCCCTAAACACATTATAGGCCATAACTCAAGTTTTTGTATGCTAATTATGCTAATCTCACACAAATGACAAAAGAAATTAAAGGATGAAGTAATAACTTTAGGACAGACATGGATGTGAACTGCACTTTGACTGGTTGGCAGAGGTGTAAAACCACAAGGTAGTGATATTTAATAAACAAACAGAAAAATGTGTGCTAACAAAATTAATGTCCCTCTGTAGCATTGATGTGATGGTTGTTGTGCAGGTCCAGAGCTGCCTGCTGTCCACCCAGCAGCCCATCCCTGCAGCCCGGCTGCCCTGCAGGGTCAAGGTGTCTGCTGGGAAGCGCTACGCCTGGTGTGCGTGTGGACACAGTAAGAAACAGGTGAGCATGTTTTGCTTTCAACTTTCGACACACCTGAGGCCTGTACTACGAAGCAGGGTTTCGCTTAGCGGGCTAACTTCAGGGAAAACTCGGGGTTTCCGGTCCTACGACGCTGGTTCTCTTTTTAGCGGGCTAGATCTCCATGGTAACTTATGCTGAGCGGCTAACCAGGGGCCTATACTACGAATCAGGATTTTCGTTTAGCAAACTAACTTCAGGGATTTCCGGTCCTACGACGCTGGTTCACTTCTTAGTGGGCTAGATAACTTATGCTGAACGGCTAGCCTGCTCCGGAGCAGGATAGGTTCCAGGATAAGAGATCAACTGTGCGGAGTTCTTCTTCTTCTTCTTTGCTTTAATGGCGAATCGCTTCCACTTGGAGCATATATCGCCACCTACTGTTGATTTATTTAATGTCCATGTTAAATCCTTGTCCTCAGACCGTTTCAATAAGGATAAATCTATTACAGGTTGAGGTAGCAACAGGTGGCACTGTGAGTGCAGACGTCGATGTGTCCCATTATCATTCATATCACATCACATCATAATGTATCATATATTTCCTTATCTGAGTCAGCTTCTTGAGCCGTATCTGGCGTGCAACACTCACAGTGTCACATACTGTATGCAGAAGTATTATTTTAAGCAACACATTAAGTTGACGAAACACTTGAGTCAAATGTAATTAAAGTCAGATCCACTCGTGTTAGTGATATCATAAACCTGTTGATGTACGCATTCAAACACTTTTTCTTTTACCAGCTGTATTCACCTTGCAGGTGCAGCTATGTGGCTTTTATCCTGGATAAAGATAGAGTGTTGCACGCCAGATACGGCTCAAGAAGCTGACTCAGATAAGGAAATATATGATACATTATGATGTGATATGATATGAATGATAATGGGACACATCGACGTCTGCACTCACAGTGCCGCGGACTGTAGGCTACGTAATGTTACTTTGATCCGGTTACTTATGTTGTGGCAGATATTTAAGTAAGCTTTCTTAACGCTAATGTTATAATAGTCAGATTGCTCTGAAGATGGGAGGTGATATTCTATTCATTTTCAAGTTCACACAGTCGGTGATTTTGGCCGACTGTATTTCCTTTCTATGACTTGATTGCTTTAAACTCTGCACACTGTTGTGATCAGCTGTTCCACCATGGTTGCTACCTCAACCTGTAGTAGATTTATCCTTATTGAAACGGTCTGAGGACAAGGATTTAACATGGACATTAAATAGATCAACAGTAGGTGGCGATATATGCTCCAAGTGGAAGCGAAGAAGAAGAACTCCGCACAGTTGATCTCTTATCCTGGAACCTATCCTGCTCCGGAGCAGGCTAACCGTTCAGCATAAGTTATCTAGCCCGCTAAGAAGTGAACCTTCTAAGAAAGTTAGCTTGATAACGAAAATCCTGCTTCATAGTATAGGCCCCTGGCTAGCCGCTCAGCATAAGTTACCATGGAGATCTAGCCCGGTAAGAAGAGAACCAGCGTTGTAGGACCGGAAACCCCGATTTTTCCCTGAAGTTAGCCCGCTAAGCGAAAATCCGGCTTCGTAGTACAGGCCTCAGGGCTTGGAGCCAAAGAAGCATAGGTGTGTTTTATCAGGTTTTATAGGAGAGCCAGAGCAAATTTTCAAAAAAATTGGGAAAGGGTGACCTTGGCCTTTTTGGAACAAACATGACATTTTTTTTTTTACGGTTAAGTCTGTTGATTGAATGCATTCCTCATGGATTTATTTATTTAGATGAAAGTGTTTTAGAGTTGTTTACTCACATTTTTCAACTTTAACTCAAGCATTATTATGTTTAGTGATATTTAACACAACAACAAGATCAATTATTGGTTTCAGGAGTATTCTTCTGATTACTGTAATATAATAGTAGTATAGTATAACAATAAAGCAATATAACATAACATTTACTAGAATATGAAAAATGAAATGAAAATAAATGTATTAAATTAGGCAAATATGAATTATTGACTGCAACAGATTGGATATGAGTGACCATTTGACTTCATTACCCATAAATCATGAAGTGACGTTCTGTAAACAACAAAGTTTATCTGGGTGGATTTTTTTTTAATAAAGTATAGCAAAAAACGTAACATAAATATGGTGCCTAAGCCAGTACAATACATTTGTTATTGTGTGCTTGAGAATATAAAATCACATTAGAATAATCAAAAAGTAATAAGATAATATGCTAAACTGACTTTGCAATACTAAACACCAACCTTGCATTGGATATAATAAATACAATTGCTGAGGTCCAGATGATTGGCCGGTCTGTGTCCTCACACTGCCAGCCGGTCTTTGTCCTCACACTGCCAGCCGGACTGTGACCGAGCTCACATTTGTCCTGTGACTTCTGTACATAAGTGTGGACTCGTTCGTAGTTTTTTTTATCCTAAATGTTTTCTTATTTGTAGTTATACGAACATAAAAGTTTTGCACTCGTGATTTATTGTATTATTGCCATGTGAATTCAATACTTAACATTCAGAAACTTCCATATTCTTTTAACACAATGTTGAATAGCTTTTAGGTTAATAATGTACACAAATGCTGACATTTGCCACCTGACTTTCGTATATAAGTTAGGCACTTTCATATTTATTTTAACCCAGACTTATTTGTAGCTAAATCCATTTTCAGTTTATTTCACGTTTGTGAAAATGCAACACAACACAAATGTTGACTTATTTGTCATGTAACTTGGATACCTAAGCGACGCACGCCACTTATTATTTCAACATAGACTAATTTGTCACGTGAATTGCCGAATTAAAGTTTAGTCATTTCCTTAGTTATTTTAACACAAAGTTTACTAATATTAAGGTTACTCCCGTACTTAAGTTCATTAACTTAGGTAGTTATTTTAACACAAATGTTGACTTATTTGTCACGTGACTTCCGTACATGAGTAACTTCACTTTTGTAGTTATATTATCCCAAACGCTCATTTATTATTTAGCTATACCAACAAAAAGTTTTGCAATGTTATTTGTACCTGTCCCACAAAATCAATTTAAGTTTATTGGACATTTTCATGAACCATGAGTAACTTGCACACTTATTGATATGAAAATGATTACACATTCTGTTTCCTCCATCCTTTTTCTCTTTCTGCCAGCCTTTCTGTGATGGCTCTCACGTTAAAAAAGCTCCGACCATCCTTCCCCTGCGCTTCACCCCCGACAAGGACCGGACGGTGATGCTGTGTGCCTGCAAGCAAACTAAAAACTCTCCGTACTGCGATGGATCTCACTTCAGGGTCATCTTCCAGGATATAGTAAAGAAAGTGAAAGGAGTCTTTAAATGAGCAGCATTCAACATGTCTGCATGGATGTCAAGGAGCAGTAACTATACCAGAATCAAACGGATAATAATCAATCAGCAGTATCTAAATCTTGTCTCAACCAAAAAACAAGTCGCTGTAAAAATGTGATGTCATTTTGTCCTTTTCATGTAAACGTGCTTATCCAATTATTTATCATATCCAGGGCATATTAAGGGCAATGACTCAGATTTTGATTCTAACATAGGCTAGATAAAGTCTCTTGTATTTGGCTAAATCCAAACCTAAATGTTAATAGACAATCATTTATCTGGAACGCATGGTGGAAAAGTCATTCTTACATATAGATATTGTTTCCATGGTGGGTTTTGATGGGGAGTTTAAGTCAGTTTTATATAGAATGTATTCAACTGTATGTCATCTGTTTTGTGACTGATGTGAATATCGTAAAATAAAAGTCGCAAATTGTAATAAAAAGTCATATTTTGTATAGCTGTATGACCCAGTTGTTATACATGATCGGAAATTATCTACAATGTGACACTGCTACTGAAAAGGTAGTTTATCTATCTGGTGTAACTTTAACATGTAAACTGCTCTAAAAATTCCCAGAAATACTAGTACAAATACTCAATAAATCTGTGTTCTCTTAGAGACTTGTGTTGTTTTTCATGGTTTTATGGATAAATATATACAGTAGGCTATTGTTTGTTTTTTGGACTTCTAAATCAGTTCAATCTGCGCCAGATTTATATCCGACTCTTGATTGGTCAAACTAACAACACGTGACTCTACAGGAAGTGATTTCTCCAATCACCATGGTCAGCTCTATACATCCATGGGGCGGCTGCTAGGCGAGGAGAGCAGAGCTGTAATATCTGGCATTATTTGAGGTTTTATTTGTATGTATCTGTTTGAGTTACCTTTTCTATTTCCCGCCGCTGTGCCGTAAAAGTCGCTTATCACGGCTGTTGTAACCTCGCGTGACTTTAGCAGGTGCTAGCTGAGGTGCTTTGAAGTTCCGCAGTTGTCATTGGAAACATGAACACGTTGGTGACCAAAATAGACTACAAATGGATTAGTTTAACCTTGAGGAATCCATGGATAACGGCTTCAAAGGTAAATAGGTGCTAATGTTAGTCCCTATCTTTTGTACAAATTATGGTTTTGGTCTGAGTCTTTATTTATTCTGAAGTAGTTTGTTTTTTTGGATCGCTTTCGACCCACGAATTACTATTCGAGCACTTTAGAACAATGTTGAGATATTTAACTAAAAGGCATACCTTAAACTTAATTCGAACAACGCACATTTCAGATAGGAACACTGCACGTTTTTCTGATAGTCTCTTTGACCTTACCAACAGTCATAACAGAGTAGCCTATAGTTATTGGAGCCACCCACTGTATTACATGAGAGCCTCTGCACAGCTGTTTGTAATCAGAGCCGAAGTCCCTCCCTTTCCGGGGGAGCTCCATGGGACCTTATTTCGGAAAAAGTATGTATTGAAGTCAATGGGGAGAGAAAGATTATCTTTCGATCCCGTTTGAATTGTGCCACGAATTACACATTGATGTTTGTCAATTTAAAAGATAATTTTGCAAGTCAAAAAAATAAAAATGTGTCGTAAAACTGAAGTAACACATTTGTTAGTGTGAAACTGCTCAATGAACTACATCTCTGGTCTCGCACCACACACCAAGAAGGCTGTCACCTTGGCACATTTCACTTCTTTCTTTCAGAATGAGGCGAAAAGTATTACAAGACAACAATTGATGAATACGCCCGAGTGTCCACCAGGACTTTGTTAAAATACTTCCTAAAGAAAGAGTCTGCACACCCACAGGTGTTTCCACCTACAGTTTATAAGTTGTCCATGAACCAAACATATTATTAACGTTTTAGTATTCCACTTTTATCCGGTGTAAAACAAAAACTGAGTTAGGGAGATGTCAGTTAAACCCAGCCAGTTCAGACCACAGAGCCCTGAAAAGATGTATTTAAAAATGAATTACTCAAACCATTTCCAGAGTACTAATTTGTTTTACTAAATGTTTATACCTACGTGTGTACTTTTTAATTATGCACATTGGCTTTACCATGAAATACAAACAAAAACTTGTAAATAAACGATGTAAAATAATATATAATGTATTATTGGTTAAATTCACATTTAGTCAGTATATCGACATATCACAATTGTAATCTAAAATTAGACAATCAGGACCCCTCATCTTCAGCATGTGAACCTTACAGTTGTCCCACTTATCTCTAACTGTGCTTCTCTTCTCTCCACAGCTGTCCACCCTCCCTCCAGAGCCCGTCATCCCCTCTAAGAAGCCTCTCAGAGTGGAGCTGCTGGGTGGAAAGCGTTACTCATGGTGCACCTGTGGACACAGCAAGAAGCAGGTTTGTTCCTCCTTTGCCTTCATCTTCAGTGATCCCTGTTTGAAGCACACCTCCCACATGTTTCCTCACCACTTCTTTATCTTTCAGCCTTTCTGCGATGGAGCCCACAAATTCAAAGCCCAAGGCCTGTCCCCGCTGCGCTTTTTCCCGGAGAAAGACAGCACAGTTTGGTTGTGTGGTTGCAAGTACACCAACAACCCGCCGTACTGTGACGGCACACACAAGCAGGACTTCATCGTTTCTGCCCCGCTTCATGAACACACAGACCCCTGAACTTAATGGAAGGGATGAACTGAGCATTTTTGTGAATAAGTGCATTCTGTGAAAGCAGCACACATAAAGTGATCCATCATGACAAGTACTTGAACCTTGTGTCAGTTTAACTTAGCGAGAAGATGAAAGTTACCGCCTCAGCCCTCAACTCCACGTGTCCTTCCTTTTTTTTTTACATGGGAGACACAATGTTGCATCAACAGCTGTGCTCTTTGATCAGACCTGTGACATAACAAAGGTTTGTGTACTGGGATGGAGCGAGGTCTGACCCTGCTGCTTCACACAGAGGCTGCTAAAAGCTCTTGAATGGGATGAACTAGTATTATTATGGCTGAAAGTGTTTTACAGGAGAAAACTGATAGAAACTGTGATGTTTGTTCAGAAAGCAATGTTCCATCCCATAGTTCAGAACACACACACCTTAAAGTATCAATCTGTCAGTCTGGGCCAAGATGTAAGCTTATATCAAATGACTTATTGTCCTCCCTTTTGGGATGCCTATTTATATTTTTTTGTTCATTTAGATTAAGAAATAAAAAAGTGTTGCACTAAACTTGAGCCAATTGGTGATTATAATGTGATAATCAAATAAAGGAAAAAACAAATGTAAGTGTGTTGACTGGTGTTGCTCTGTAATATTCACAAACCAGTGTTATGTTATAATGTGAACCTGATAGTGACGCGGTCTGGCAGTTATCTCATATTGTAGTTCTATTTTCCTTAAAGATGAGACCTGCTGAATGCATGACTCAGACACAGGAAATCCTTTTGCTGATAACAATATATACATGGCAGTTGAGCCCTATGAAGGTGTGTATCATAATCTAACATTAACAATAAAAAAGACGTTCTTTTGCACAGAATTGTTACATTTCTCAGCCTCTAATGAAGTCCTATATATATATATATATATATAAGCTTTATCTATAAAGAACACAATTAGAAATTGCTCATGAGTTTTTATACTTCAATGCTGCAACTTTTATTTAAGTAAATACTTGCTGTACTGCTTCCACATCTGGCAATATGAATCCCAATGATATTTACTTTGTCATTACTTGTTGGCTCTATGTTGGAGGTTTTATTTTTGAAATGTACACATTTAAAAGGATGAACACATGTATACATCACCTGTTCTCAGTTCATTGTGAATAATAAGTGGGGGAAAAGTATTCAGATTCTTTACTTCAAGAGTAAAAGTATTAATACCACACTGTAAAAATGTTACTGAAGTAAAAGTATTTAAGTACGATTAGGAAAATGTACTTAGAGTAATAGGAGTAATAGTACTCATTTTAAAACATATATATGCAAAAGCAAAACATCTTCACATTTAAGAAGCTGGAACTAAAATGAAATCTTAAATCAAATTTATTTTTCTTTTAACCCATTCATGGCTTTAGTTACTTAAATATAATGTGAGATGGTTTAATTTAAATCAAATTATCATATTTATTAAGTTTTTCCTAAGTACTGGTGTCAAAATCTGAATTTATAAAGTTACTAGTAAATACATCTGTAAAATAAAAAATAGTGGAGTACAACATTTGCTTCCAAAATGTAGTTGAGTAGAAGTATAAAACAAAAACACTCGGGTTAAGTACAAGTACCCCAAATGTGTACCTAAGTACAGTTATTGAGAAATATACTTTAGACCACTGCTAATAACATGCATTAGCACTTTACGCTCACTCCATAAACAGCACAGTCAGCTCAGAAACACCTAGTAAGTAAACATTTTATTGACCTAAAACATGCACATATGGCTGATAAAAAAATCATCGTTTGTTGAAAAGAAACAAAAGGAATGTTGAAATTAATGGAACTACAACATACATGGCCAAATATTCAAATCCCTTTTGAGTTGTTCGACTGCCATGAGAACTTGGGCTGTGACAGACGCCTGCCTGGAGCCTGGTAGTGCTTGGACTTAAAAGAAAAGCTTCTCCTGCTGGAAAATACTTCAGGTTTTGTGATGTGACGTTAACAAAGTGCATGGGCAGTTTTAATGTAATGTACCTGTGTTACCTGATGAGCAGCTGCTTACTGTGGACACGTTATACAGCAGTTATTAACACGACTGTTCAAAAAGGAGAGGATTAGCTTCTTTTTTTTTTTACTTCTTTACATCACACGTCTGTAGTGACTCAGCGTTTCACAGAGTCAATCAGCGATGGAACTACAGTATGAAAATGAAACAGACCCACTGCATATACAATACAAAACGATTACAATATCTTGTATAAAAGATAAGTTTATACATATGTATGCACACATGCTCACGTTTGATACATACTGTACAGTTTGTATGTGTGCACCGTTCTAGTCTAAAACACATAAAGACACACACACACGCACACACACACACATACACACACACGAACATACATACATACAAACATACATACATACAAGTGTCTATTTGGCTGCACTTTTCAGTCCCTCCTGCTGAAGCATTGACCTTCTGTTTCTCCAGAAGGCGTGTCTGTTCGCTCTGTAGAAAGAAAGACGGGAGCAATTCCAACACTGTCCTCCCGGGGGTCTGTAAACTCGTTAGGTCGTCGGAGGCAAACCGCTTTTGTCCCCCCCCCTCGCCTCCTCTTTGGCCCCGGAGCCCGTGCCGTTGACAGTCACCTTCCGAGCGTTGGCGCCCTGTTTGGAGGCGTGGCTGTGTCGCTGAGTGTTGTTGGGCACGGTGGTCCCGTTGGAGCTCTGGAGGGCGGGGGGCAGGTTGTGGGACGCAGGGCTGGACTGGGAGGATGCTCGGGGGGGCTGGGCCGCGGCGGGAGGGCTGTGCACCTTGTCGCTGTGGGAGTCGCTCTCTGACGTGGGGCTGGTGTTGACCCCGTCAGAGTGGCCCTGCGCCGCCTGGGACGCCCTCCTGCGCTTCCTGGTGGGCTTCACCAGATACTGCAGGGGGATGGGGCCAGTCTGCACAGAGACACACACACACACACACACCGTTAAAACTACAGCTTTTATTTTTGATGGGGAACATTTACAGACAGATCTAAGGCTGGATGATTGGATTAGATTGAACTTTGTCATTTCACAGAGTAATAGGACAACGAAATGCAGTTTGCATCTCAGGAAGAGTGCAGTCAAATGTACATGTATTATGTATGTATATAAATATGATGGATATGAAAAGCTAGTATATCAAGTATGAACAGAAGTAGAAATATTGAATATAGGTAGTAGAAATATAGACAGTATAATATTGACACTATAGATATTACTACACTTTAGACGCTTTGTATAAATAAATGAATAATTATGAGTACACTATAGAAGGTATAACCAGTATGAACATTTATTTATTTTGTAATATTAAGTTAACCTGTTTTTATACAATATCCCATCATTGGATTCTAAAAATACATAAATGTACTGACATGTGCCTTTGTTATCATTATGGGGTGTTTTTAAGTTGGCATGTATGAGTACCATACCAATAGTCACTGTTTTAGGCAGTATGTCGAAACAGAAATGAGTTCCATCATGGAAGCTAATGTATGATACTGATATGTGAAATATCTGAATGAATTGTGCTTTTGATGATTAAAACATGACATTTGGCACACTGTTAGAGCATGCCCTAAGGAAGATTTTTGGCTACAGGGTAGGGCTGTGCGATTATGGCAAAAATCATAATCACGATTATTTTGGTCAATAATTGATATCACGATTATTAAATACGATTATTCATTGGCTTTGAAAACATCCATTTATTGAACTTTAAAACAAATACAAATAATAATTTGAACAGTATCTTTTTAACTGTTGATTACCCTGAACGTATAATTCAACTGAAAAACCAATACAAAAATAAATAAAATAAGAGACATATATATTTACATTTAAATAAATAATATCAAAAATAATAAATACCAATAAACAAGATCAACAAATATTTTGGAGCGCACTTCAACAAGCTACTAAACATATGTAAATATGATAAATACAAATAAATTAGACTAAAATAAATTAGATCCAATATGTTGCAGTGCACGGTCACAACCTAGCAAAGCAAAATAATCGTTTTTTCCAATTATGTTGTTTTCGTAATTGTGGCAGGCCTAAATCGTAATTGCGATTAAAATACGATTAATTGCACAGCCCTACTATAGGGCCATCGCATATTTGTCCAATGGCGCCAATAGCGGCCATTTTGAAAATGGTTGTTATTTTACCAGTAGTTTAGGATCTAGACCACCTAGGATCTTGATTCTGGTGGCTAATCCTACATTTTCAAGGATGGGGAATGCAGTGGTACTATTTACAACATGCTAGAATGTAGCTAACTACATGTATCTGGTATTCAGGGAACAAAATACACAGTAAAACCATTAACATATTTATTATGGTGAAGTAATACATGTTACATAATATATATGTAATATTACAGGTTTTCAACTAAATGCAGAGTTAGTTCTGAAAACACAGTCCGCCACAGTGGCAAAGGGCAGTGCACTGAATTGCTACCTTGACACATTTGCATTGTCCACTGCACCCCTTTTTGCATCCACAGCGGAGGAGTTCACGACAGGCCTGGGTCGCTTCTGGTAATGTGGTCCAGTAAACTTCCCATCCACCGCCTTCCTCTTCCACCCCCAGTCACCTGGGGATGGGAGTTCAGGGGCTACAAACATCATCTGTCCCCAGCAGTGACCAGCTTGGAAGGCAGCTCTCTTTGTGTGCTGAATCAATGCTGCTTGTGTTGGGGGGAGTCCTTCAATTGTTCTACCTTTCTGGGTGAAGAGCTGCTTGCGTGCCTGATCGACTGACTCCTGGCTGCTAGTGCGGTCATACAATACCAGAGAGCAGTGTCACACTCACTTCTCTACTTCCCCTCTTCTACGACCAGGCCAAATCTGTAGCCATGATTTGTCATTCCATCGATGTGGAGATTCTGAATCCTGGTCAGATCACTCTGGATCAACCTCTATATGCTGTGGCTAAACAAATCCAGTGGAGCTGGCCAGCAACAACAAAGTGAAGATCATTTTATTGTGATGTTTGTTGGGTTTCACATTGAGATGGCAGCACTCAAGGTACATGGCGACCTCCTGGAGGGGTAGCGGGTGGACAAGAGCAGTGTCATGTTCCCAGTTCCACTTCTGGTCTATCATCCTGCAGCTGGAAATAGAGTTGATGATCTATGTGCGATCAATAAGAGAGGCCGACTTCCTACTCTACATAAATGCCTTGACCAAGATTGTGCCTTGGTTCCTTTCTCTGGGACACACCCACTATGCCGGATGGATACCAGTCCACTTACGTGACATGATTGTGCTAAAAGATAACCATCCTGATGTCCATGGGCAGTTTCTGAAAGGAAATTTGCTGTGAAGAAGACGACACGCAGCTTCTCTGCTATTGTCATTGACCAGGCCCACGAGCAGAACAATGCCTCTGTGAAAGGTGATGGTGGTGCTGTAGGCCTGACAGAGAACCCTGCAGTTCTGCGACGCTGGATGGTGTCTGGCCCCGAGATGGCACATGTGGTTGGGGAGTTTGAGGCCTCCACTGAGAAGAGAAAGAAGACTGACACCCGGCACCATGAGCAGACCAAACATGCACAAATGGCATTTGCACGAGATGTTAAAGCACTAATTGGTGCTATAGAAGACATGGGCAATCCATGCTGTGAAAAGAGCATTGTGCTGGATACTAGAGACCTTGCAGATGCAGCAGTCACTCTGAACCAGATTGATCCCTTGCCGATTTTGTAAATTCACCCACTTACAAATAAATGAACAGTCTATAATTGTAATGGTAGGTTTATTTTAACAGTGAGAGTAAGAATATCAAAAAGAAAATCCAAAAAATTACATTATATAAAAGATAAACAATTATTTGCATTTAACTGTGGGAAATAAGTATTTGATCCCCTTGCAAAAAACAAGGATTCTGGTTCCCACAGACCGGTTACATAAGTCCATTTCCTTTAGGAAAGTACCCCTCATATCAACTTGTTACCTGTATAAAAGACACCTGTCCACAGAATCAATCAATCAGATTCCAACCTCTCTACCATGGGCAAGACTAAAGAGCTGTCTAAGGACCTCAGGGACAAGATTGTAGACCTGCACAAGGCTGGGATTGGCTACAAAACCATCGGCAAGCAGCTTGGGGAGAAGGTGACATCTGTTGGTGCTATTATTCGGAAATGGAAGGAAAAAAAATGGACATCAATCAACAATCAATCACCCTCGGTCTGGGAATCCACACAAGATCTCGCCCCTTGGGGTATTGATGATCATGAAAAAGGTGAGGTATCAGCCAAGAACTACACGGGAGGAACTTGTTAATGATCTCAAGGCAGCTGGGACCACAGACCCAAGAAAATTATTGGTAACACACTACACCATAATGGATCAAACCCTGCAGCGCCCGCAAAGTCCCCTGCTCAAGAAGAACATGAAAGGCCCGTCTGAAATTTAACAATGAACATCTGAATGATTCAGAAGGCTTGGGAGAAGGTGATGTGGTCACATGAGACCAACATCGAGATCTTTGGCATCAACTCGACACGCCGTGTTTGGAGGAAGAGAGATGCTGACTATAACCCCCAGAACACCATCCCCACCGTCAGGCATGGAGGTGGAGACATTATGCTTTGGGGTGTTTCTCTGCTAAGGGGACAGGGACAGGACCACTTCCCTGCATCGAGGAGAGGATGGACGGGGCCATGTACTGTAACATCTTGGCCGATAGCCTCCTTCCCTCAGCCAGGACTCTGAAAAAGGGTCATGGAGGGGTCTTCCAGCAGGACAATGACCCTGAACATACGGCCAAGGCAACACAGGAGCTGTGCATGTTCTGCAAGGGGATCAAATACTTATTTCCCACAGTTTAATGCATATCAAATTGTATCTTTTATATATTGTCAATTTCTGAATTTTCTTTTTGATATTCTTACTCTCACTGATAAATTAAACCTACCATTACAATTATAGACTGTTAATTTATTTGTAAGTGGGCAAACTTACAACATCTGCAAGGGATCAAATACTTATTTCCTCCACTGTGTGTCAGTGAGCGCCTGGTCAAACACAGACAAAGCCCATCAAAGATCCCATTAAAAGGAAAAACCTCCCTCTATTCAGCCAGCCTCCAGTCCGAGAGAAGTCCAGGTCCCACAACAGCTCTCATCTCTGAAGAATGACTGTTCTCTGTTCTCTCGGCTGTACATTGTATCTGAGATACGTGATGGAAGACTGGATGAGTTTTTTGGGATTAATTATGTGAAATATAATAAACTTGAAAACCAGGCATGTCCATCATCATTGTCACAAATGGGCAAGCTCAGAACTGGTACCAAGTCAGACTTGGTGGGCTGTTTGGAGGACCTGATTTCTTTACAAGAGAATGCATCCCACCCCACAGTTAAGGCCTCATCCTTGCTGGGGCTACTCTTGTGAACATGCTACGACCTGGTGCTGCTAAGACGTTTTTTTATTATGCGCAGAAAGCGTTCTCACCATACATCCTGTCTCAGCTGGAGCATGTCAGCAGAGTCGATGTCGTGTGGGATGAATATTTCCCCGAAAGTCTGAAGGCTGAAACACGCAGCAAGAGAGGGAAGGGAGTTCAGACGTGTTGAGCCATCCAGTGTCATTCCTGGAAACTGGCCAGAGTTTCTGCGCATTGAAGACAAGAAGGCTGAACTGTTCTTCTTCTTGGCAACCAGTGTGACAGCCCTCAACACTGGCAAACAAATAATCAGTACTTGCAACATGCACACATGAGGAGGCTGATACCTGCATCCTACTGCACCTAGGAGATGCTGTGAAGGAAGGGTATAGCAAGGTGTCAATACGCACAGTTGACACGGATGTGGTAGTACTGGCAATCACAGCAGCCCAATCCCTCAACATCACTGCTGTGGGTTGCCTTTGGAGCTGGGAAGAGTTTTGGGCATTTAG